AAATTTTATTGTTACTTTATATTTTGCTATCGAGTACAGTGCTTGAACATGACAAGATTCCCTGTGTTATGTTTTAAGTGTCAGACAATAACAGGGAGGTGTTTCTTATTGAACTGTGACTAGTCTGTGTAGGTCACTTTAAGCCGAGGTAACTTATGATGAGTGTCGATTCGTGCATTCTCGGAGTGACACATCAACTTTGCCTCTTTGTCATGCTCACAGGTGCATGACATAAACCTATCTTGATTTTCTGTTCTCTATTTTCTTAAAAAAAAAAAAGGGTGAGGGGTGAGGGAAAGGTAGAGAGGATACCCTTGTTGTGATCAGTTATCTCTAGTTGGAGTGTATAATCCTCACCATTGCAGCTTCTACAGAAGTAGACAAAAATAATTTATGTATACAAAGTCAGCCCTAAAACCATGTTTACAGAAGGCAGAAGTTTGTAATGTTAAACCAGGGGTGTAAATGAACTACAGTACTCTAGCAGTAACCTAAACCTACTTTTAAGGAGCCAATAGATTAATTATTAAAAGTTGTTCAATGTCAACCATTATTTTTTGACTAGTTGTATATGAAATGGGCTGCAATTGTTCCAAGTTTCAGTACTGCAGCCTAAATAGTAAGGGAGATTTATTTTTGTTTTTTCAACGAATATTACACATTTTCAAGTGTGTATATACAACCACACGTTTCAGATATAATCATTCTGACACTTTTCTGATATATTAGCATATAATAAAGGATCTGAGGCCGAGGATTTTTTAAAACATGTTTAGTTTTCTTAATACAAATAGTCAAAGTTCCTCCAAAAAAATATGCAGATGTAACATGTTTATTGCTATTATAAAATCAATAAATGAGCTTAGGAAAAAACGCTGGCCCTATATTTTAGAGACATAAACTTTACATATAAGGTGTAAGTTTCATGTAAATTGAATAAAAAATGAGTTATATGAACATTTATGTTACTTGAAATAACTAAGTAAAAAATAAAGTCCAAGGTGCTGCTGTCTGTGGCCGAGGTTGACATCAACCAATTCCTCCAAAATTAGCACCCTCACAGATAGGCTTACGTGCAGTCAGGTGTATAAGTTTCATGCAAATTGTCCGATAAATAAATAAGAAAAATCAAATTGAAAAAAAATCAAATTATTTTTTTAATAAAAATAATTTTTTTTTTTTTTAATATATGCTATTGTGATAGCTGAGAGTCAGACATGATTTCAGTTGACACTTGTTTGATAATCGTTTTTGACCATTTTGGAAAATTTTTGACACCTACTTCAATATTTTTGTTCTCCCTTCCTATTTATGCTCCGATGCTGAGACTTGGACCAGATGAAACCCTTTTCATATGCAACTCGTCAAAAATGTTTGATTGAAATCGAACAATTTTCATTTTTTAATCTATTGGCCCCTTAAAGCTAAACATTAAGTTTGTGTTATGGCCCCTCTTTGATCTGAGAAAATTATATCTTTGGTTTAAAATTAGATAAATTACAGCAAAGTACTGTATCAGATAATGACTAGTTCTGGAGTTTAGGCCTGGCCATTGTTTCAGCATGTATGCTCAAATATGCCTGTAGATAACAAATACTAACATGATTTACATTTGTACTGAATGTGCTTGTATGGTTTGATTGAGTATATAGCTATTATGTTCATTATTTTTGGTGTAAATTATTATAAAAGTCATTTAATGTATTCAGATCAATCACTTTTTCTAATAGCCAACTGTAGTAACTGTAATAATGAATTGTTTGGTTGTACCTGGATGGGGTTCTGGGACTACTACTACTCCCCAAGCCTGGCCCGGGACCAGGCTTGACTTATGAGAACTTGGTCCACCAGGCTGTTGCTTGGAGCGGCCCGCAGGCCCACATATCCACCACAGCCCAGTTGGTTGGCACTTCTTGAAGAAAACTATCTAGTTTTCTCTTGATGTCCACAGTTGTTCTGGAAATATTTTTTTATACTCACTGGGAGTATGTTGAACAACCGTGGACCTCCGATGGTCATAGTGTTCTCTGATGGCACCTCTGCTCTTCATTGGTGAGGTGCCATATGCACCATCAGAGAACGCTGTAAACTTTAGAGGTCCACAGTTGTTCAGCACCCTCCTAGCAAGCATAAGAAATATTGTTGGAATAAATGCAGATGTCTTAAAAAAGTGCTGGACCAACTGGGCTGTAGTAAATATGTGGGCCTGCAAGCTGCTCCAAGCAATAGTCTGGTGGACCAAGTTATCACAAGTCAAGCTTGACCCTAGGCTGGGCTGGAGAAGTAGAACAACCATAACCCCTTATTCAGGTATAATGAAACACTTCAGTATTTCTAATTTCCCATTATCACCCCTGCCTTAACTTAAACACGAGTAAAACGTTTTAATTTTTATTAATCTAGTGTTATTAAGGATCTATATGCAGTACAGTATATTTTGGTGTGTGTTATTTAAAGTTGAAATGTATGGCTATATGAAGATTCTTTAAAAAAAAAATATATATATATATTCTGCAGTGATTCCCGAGGGAATACTGAAGTATTTAGGCTGTTTTGAGAACAAGCAGGAATCCTGCTGGTTAAAAAACTAAGGTAAATTGCGCAGTGATATGTAGGCTTCACTCATAAATGAAACTAAAATACGTACTCTAGATATGGATTTTATTTCCTTGTATTTGCCATACTACTTACAGTAATGAAACTTGTTAAAATGCATTAATTTCAAACAAGTATTTGTGGTAAAAGAAAACTATTTCATTGTTAAGCTACATATAACAGCATTTGTTTATGAAGCTTTTAGTCTATGCCTAACTAATAACAAAATACTCAATCTTTGGTTAAGTTAAATAGGTCAATGATACAAGTGACTAGTACCTATTATTAATAGGTCGCACAACACAGTTTGTTATAAGGAAGCACACACATTCAGTGACATTATTTCCAATTATATAAATTCATATTTGAATACAAGTTCAATTAATTTCTGTACATTGTATCTTTGCTATACAGTTTAAACTTTTATCACTTGCAAACTTAAAAAAAACAACTGTACAATGTCCAAAGATTAACAGTAAGTGCAGAAAACAGACCAAGATTCCAACAAAAACATACAAGAATCCTTAAATTACTGCTGCTTACATAGTGCAAGCAATTTTATCTTACATTTTAAATACTGTAGTATATAAATGAACTGAAATGAACTCCTGTACATATTTTGAAATACAAAAACTGACATTAAATAGTCTGTACACTTCTAAATTCAGATATGACAAGTGTTGATGTACAGTATTAAAAACATTTAATTATTTTCATCATCCAAGAAAAGCTATTAAGATTGTTAATAAAATATATCTATAATGGAAACAAGCAATTAAAAAAAAAAAAATGCTAAGCCTTGCAGACCATAGCATTTTGTTACAAAATATTCAAGAGTTTGTAGATATTCATGATGCTAATATGAGCAGAAAAATAAATGTCTAATCTTAATTCCTGGATTTTCGACTTGGAATTACGGGCGTTTTCCCTAACCGCTTGTCGGATCACGACGTAAATTTACGGTGCGGTTTAAAATATTTGTAAAAAATCCAGTTTAAATCCGATTTACTTGGGGTTTGTTTCAAACTCCGCGCCATGAAATTCCCGTTCTCTCGGGTAGGCCGCAAGTCACGTCGGCCTACTGGGTCACGTGACAGGCCCATTGTTTTGTTGTCACGTGGAGCGATCGGATCTCTCTCCCCTCGGCCTCCCCTCGGCTCTCCCCTCGCCCAACCTACACAATGCAGACACAAAGAAAGTTCAGAAAAGAAAACGAGTTCGCAGGGCAGATGGAACAAACAGTAAGACTACAGCAGGTTGTGGTGAACAAACCACAGGCAATTGTTGACTACAATAAGTTCATGAAGGGTGTTGACCACTTTGATCAAATGGTAAAGTATTACCATTTCGCCAGGAAATGTCAGAAGTGGACCAAGAAAATAACATTTTATTTCTTGCAAATGGCATTGCAAAACGCTTATGCATTGTACAAGGCCAACACAGATGATCGAAGGAAACTAACTCTGCTCCAGTTCCATGAAGTTGCTATTTGGTCTTTATTGAAATTTGACAAGGCAGAGTGGCCTGCAACAACTACACCATCTCCACATCTAGTTCATGCTCCAGACATAAATGATGACACTGGTCCTGTGTATCCTGCTGCTGACCCGTCGGGTGTGAGGCGCCCTCTCTTCACGTCTACACCTAGTGCTGAAGCTGAATCTGATGAAGATAATTCATATTCCACATTAGTGTTTGAAAACAATAGTGAGAGCAACGAGTCAGACAGTAGTTTATTGCCAACCCAGAGACAACAGCGACGTGTTGTTATAGCAGAGACTCGCCTGAACTATAAATTGAAACATGAGCTGGTAAAAATCCCCAAACGTCGCAGGTGTGAAGTGTGTTCAAAGTCGGGTATCAGGAAGGAAACTGGTATAGCGTGCAAGACATGCGATGTTCCACTTTGCGTCATACCTTGTTACACCACTTATCACAGGAAAAGGGTGTATTGGGTGGACAAGAAATAACCACCCACACCAGCTTCACTCCACCTAGGAACATCTGTTGAGCAACTTCAGGAATCAGTACCTGAAGGAGGTGGAGTGGAGATAAAATGCTCAACTTATTTTACTACAATCGTCTTTGCTTTGGTAAGTACACATAATTGTCTTAGATTGTTTCAGTATTGTAGTCTATTTTCTTAGGAATATTTTGATACCTAAATGAGAACTGTAGCACGAAAACTAAAGTAAACACGAAACAAGAGAAACTTTTTTTGTGGGTGTTGCGGGTGTGAGTTGGAGTGTCAAGAGCGGGTTCCGGTTGCGTGTCAAATCAAGCAAAATCAATCCTTATAAAAATCTGAGCATTCTATGAGGTGACACTGTTATAGGCTTGACAGGTGCAGGTCTCTACAAAAGTTGCCTACGAGTTAATGTGGAGTCAATATGTAAACTAGCAAATTTTCCACTTTCTATTTTGGCAAGATAAAGGAAAGCAATGAAAATACATCACATTTTATATGTAATATGTAGCAGCTAACCGTCTAGGGATGACTAAAGCTTCACTGGCACGACAATACACGTCAACTTCTACTACATGGGGTCGAGGTGAAACACTAGTTCCCAAATTTATTTACCTTTAGTGTTTAATGTTCACAAGCCACAGAATTTAAATTCAAATTTACTAATACTAGTCATAATACTAGTCACCTAACATGCTAGTGAATGTGGCAAACGATGGTATCATGGCTGGAGACGACTTATATCATGCATGCCTCCTTATCCATTTCTTTTCTGTAACTTATGTCACAAGGCATGTAATGAACATTGAATGCTTCATCACCTTAAATCTTTTAAATCTTTTAAATTATTCTTCAAGTTCATTACAGAGTTTTCAAGAAGCTATCATTAACCCACTTAGAATACCATTAAAACATCATAAGGATTCATAGAAAACAAATCTAACTTAGCAAACTTACTCAGTTCTAAAAACTGATCAACATAGACCAAGTTATCCAGCTAACTTGCTCTGCAAGAATTTTCTAAATCATTCTACTGTCATGTGGAAGCACTAGCAAATAAATACACTGAGTAACAGGTAACATTGTGACACCCACACAAAGAGCCTATTGGCTTTGTAACCAAAATTACTGACAAAAATATTTAAAACCACAGATTTGTGCACGATACCGAAATGTGGCGAGCAAAGAACTTTTTGTGAGCAGAATACCGCCTCAGAGCTACAGCTTTAGTTTAACAAACTGCAAAATAATGCAAAGCCTTCTGGTCATGAGCATATTAGATAAACCAGCTCATCTTCCTAAAATGAAAGTACATATAACAACTATTTGGTCAAACATACCAATATGTACTGTTGGACCCCCAGAAAAGTTAATGTTTTGTATTACCAAATAAGCCAAATGCCATTTTAAAAACCTTGAAACATAACAATGTTGAACAGTACCTTTAGGTTAAGGCCTTATTAAGCAGTAAAGGTCAGGAAATAGTGTAAATATGTCATTAGGCTATTACGAAACCAACTATTGAGACGCCATAGTTCAAAGCTTGCTAATAAGCCACAGTAGAGCAAACGTGCAATAATAAACTGCTCATCCCTGAGCAAAAATATAAAGTCAGAAAAATAATGCTTAAATTTAAAATACAGTACACACTAAAAATAATTTCTATTCAAAATAGGTAGATTCTTCACAATTTGTAGGTTTCCTGTCAGCGGGTTCTACATGGTGCTTCTTTTACTATTATTTGCATGAATCAAGTCAGCCATTTTCAAAAGGGCCCAACTGCTTAAACCAAGCTTAAATAAAACCAGATTTAAAGTGTAGAACGGAATTAGTAATGCATAGCAAATCCCTTTGTGGAATTTGGCATTCAATATAGAGTATTAGGCATTGTTATCAGGAACTATGTGCTATTTAGTTAATGATCATTCTGGAGTATAATGCCATATACACAGTTTAATACATACATCATACAAATACTGTAATTTAAATACTTGAACAAGGATTAGTAAAACTGGCACAGTTGATTTGATTGGCAAAGTTGCGGCGATTATTGTCGGCTGGAACAGGGACACGGAACAGCTGGCCCTCAGGCATACACATGCACAGCTTGTACTGACCACGGTCCTTGGCCACATCCAGAGGACCAGCCAGAGGAAGTGTATTCACATCTACCATTATGCCACCTCCAGTCTCCAATAAAATTGAACCATTTATACTTTTAACATATATATCTTGATCTGCTGACCATGTTAATTTTCCACCATCAAATGACATTCCTTCATTCCCTTTCAGTCGAATCTGTAATGAAAAATGTGGGAAGTGGTTTTTGTACAATATAGAGCTTCTGAGGAAATATGAAAATATATTTTGAGATTAGATCACATGGTTACTTCCCAAGGTAAGATGTGTGTATTAGAGAGGATTGCAAATAGTTGAGCATGGGAACGTTCTGACACTAGTACTGCGGTGTACATTTAAGGGGCCGGGATATTAAATTTTGCACCATGCTCAAATGCTTTCAAATTATTTGTACATAATCTACTAGGCACATGCTCCAACATTTAAGGTTTATGAAAAAAACAATCTATTAGGATTGTAGAACAGACAACTGTGCCCATTATATGTAAAAATGGTGAGAATCGGTCAGAAACTGGATTTTTTTATGCACTTAAGGTTGAAACTCTGGTTTTAGAGATAATTGAAGTTGAAGTTATCGACAATGAATAAAGTAGTTCTAATTCTTTAATTTACTTGTATGGTTTAATAAACATTGTTTGGCATTCATACTCGAATATGTGAAAGTTGTAGGTCAATGTGTTGAAATGAAGTCAAGAAAAACTACCTCCCCACCAAACAAACAAAATATAGGGATTTAGGGGATATATATGTATACTTTATATGTGATAAAGCCCTAACCTGGTCCCTAATCATCAAAACAACCTAAAAAGACAAAGAAAATAGAGTTTGAAATCTGTGAACAAATTATCCCCAAAAAATTCAAAGTTCCAAGTTTTGCCAGTTGTAGTTGAATTATTTGTTGACCAATTACAGTTTATCTTTACATAGTTAACCCTTAAGCTGCTAAGGGGTCCCGAGGAGATTTACATCCCTGTGCGCAAGAAAAAAAATTAAAAAAATATTATTTCATTTTCTAAAAATGTTAATTTGTGTTCCCTGAGCAAGGAGGGAAAAAAATCGTAGGTGACATATTTTGGGTGCAATAGGCCGAGGAAGTCTGGCAAAATGTGGGCGTAGACAGAGCAGTCATCAGAGGCGGTCAGCGTCACCCGAGCTGTCAAGCCGGAGTTGCCACAAAAATATTATTACTTAATTATTTCAATGTCTCTGATTGATTTTTTCTTAGTTTTTTTTGCAGTAATATTATTCAATAGTGTGTAGTGTGATAGATTTATATAATAAAATGTGTGACTCATCGCTATACTCAAAAGTATTGTGTTCATATTAGTGATTCAATTATTACGTTCATAAAGCAATAAACAAATAGTTTTGCAGTTATTACACTATATACACACACATTATATGTAAGTATCTACATGTTTTGTTTACCAAAACTGTACAACTAAATTGATATAGATAGTTCAAGCACTAAGAGACATCGCTACACACACAGCTGGCGGCTGCCTCCTTCACTCATTCAAGGTCAGGCGCACTAAAATGTTTCCCCCAACAATACTGTTTGTAGCGTTATTACACTATATACACACACATTATATATAAGTATCTACATGCTGTATGCACCGTAACTGTACACTTAAGCTTGTAGGGTGCCCAAAGACCATAGTGGCCTACACAGCTAGACAAGTCATGCAGACGACGCCACCTCCGGCACTCAAATGGCTCCTCCCAACATAATCCTTTTGCTGTTACAGTATTACTCTAATACACACATTATATATAAGTATCTACATTTGTGTTCACCATAGAGAACCACTGACCTGGTATGGGGAATGCAGACAATAACAGGTGGCCACACAGTCAGTAATCTCCTTATTTTTTTTTTATTATTTTTTTTTTGCTCTAGTTTTGCAGGAATATCCCTGCAAAAAATCCCTATCCCTGTCAACCTTCCTCAGCTGCCACCAGGTGGCTACACCATACAGTACATACAACAGGGCTTCCTGGCCCAATTTTACTGTACATGAACATTACATGTCTAAATATACTGTATACTAAAAAGCTTAGAAACATAATATTTCTTATAAATTCCTGAAGGTATGATAAAATAAATGGAGAAGATTACATAAACAGACCAGTTTTATCAAAATAGCAAGAAATGCTAAAAAATAATTGTGGAAACCAAAGAGAAATTAAGAAGTGTGGAGAGCAAGGGAAGCAAAAGCAGATCCCATTGGTCTTCTAGCTCAAGCCAAGATATAGGACAGAAAATGGGGGATGCTTCTTCATCCATGGGGGTAATAAACACATGGAGCTGCCTATCCTCCAAAACCGTAAATATCTAGACATTACTTTAGTTCAAATCCATTTGGATAAAATAATAAGAAAAATAGGGAGAAATTTGACAAGCCACCCACTTCCTGTTCCCTTCGAGACCACTAGTGTGTTGGTGGCCCTCATGTTATTTTATCTACGAGAGAGAATGTGTGAAAGAGTCCAATGTTTGAGGCCAGATGCTTGGGGCTAGCCTCACCCAATTTTGCAGGGTGAATGGTCCGGGATACAAGACAGACACAGGCTAGTCTGGGTCACCGACTTCACTGCCACACTGACAAATGCTGGGCTCAAACCCAAGCCCCCCTGTGCGATTTTTATGAAGTTAGAAATGAAATACTGTAGTGGATGTATTTTCTAGAATTTACAAGTTACAATGGCTGTTTCCATCCACCCTCAGACCAAGTCCATTCCATCCAGTTATCAACCCCAAAAATGCATTTATCAAGCTGTTCATTCAAAATAGAAATTTTCCTAAATATAAATTAATATTGTTATATAGTATTAGCATACTGTGCATATTTAGGCATTTGTTATGTTAGGTGTTTATGTTCTGTTGGTGATTATGTGTATTTGTAGTACATGGGTGGGACATTTACAGCATTGTGGTTCGAACAAAAGTCATTAGTGAAGTACTTGTTTGAGAAGTGTTCGAACTTCATTAGTTGTGAGGCGTGTGTAAACCATTTAAATTCATAAACAAAATGGACTTTGGCCATTGTTTATGAGGATGAGCTGGCTGTTTACCTATGCATTTTCATGATTTACTCAAAAACGATGAACTGAATTAATTTGATTTACAGTGATGGAAATAGTAAGGAAGATGGTTACAGTGATGAAGATAATGAGTTGTGAAGATCTCCGTGGTGTAGTGGTAAGACACTCGCCTGGCGTTCCGCGAGCGCTATGTCATGGGTTCGTATCCTGGCCGGGGAGGATTTACTGGGCGCAATTCCTTAACTGTAGCCTCTGTTTAACGCAACAGTAAAATGTGTACTTGGATGAAAAAACGATTCTTCGCGGCAGGGGATCGTATTCCAGGGACCATAGGATTAAGGACTTGCCCGAAACGCTACGCGTACTAGTGGCTGTACAAGAATGTAACAACTCTTGTATATATCTCAAAGATGCAAGATGATGGGAAGATGTGGAATATGATAAGTGATGGGGAGATGGAGGAAGGTTAATAGAGAGGGGAGACAAGGGGAATATGAAGGTAGAGGGGGGGCCCAGGGGGAAGATAAAGGTAAAGGGGGGACAAGCAGAAGATGAAGGGAGAGGGGTGACAAGAGGAATTTGAAGAGAGGAAGGACAAGTGGAAGATGAAGGTATAAGGGGGACTAGGGGAAGATGAAGGGAGAGGGGGAAGATGAAGGGAGAGGGGGAAGATGAAGGGAGAGGGGGGACAGGGGGAAGATGAAGGGAGAAGGGGGACAGGGGGAAGATGAAGGGAGAAGGGGGACAGGGGGAAGATGAAGGGAGAGGGAGGACAGGGGGAAGATGAAGGGAGAGGGAGGACAGGGGGGAAGATGAAGGGAGAGGGGGCACAGGGGGAAGATGAAGGGAGAGGGAGGACAGGGGGAAGATGAAGGGAGAGGGAGGACAGGGGGAAGATGAAGGGAGAGGGAGGACAGGGGGAAGATGAAGGGAGAAGGGGGACAGGGGGAAGATGAAGGGAGAAGGGGGACAGGGGGAAGATGAAGGGAGAGGGAGGACAAGGGGAAGATGAAGGGAGAGGGAGGACAGGGGGGAAGATGAAGGGAGAGGGGGCACAGGGGGAAGATGAAGGGAGAGGGAGGACAGGGGGAAGATGAAGGGAGAGGAAGGACAGGGGGAAGATGAAGGGAGAGGAAGGACAGGGGGAAGATGAAGGGAGAGGGGGGACAGGGGGAAGATGAAGGGAGGGAGGACAGGGGGAAGATAAAGGGAGAGGGAGGACAGGGGGAAGATAAAGGGAGAGGGAGGACAGGGGGAAGATGAAGGGAGAGGGGGGACAGGGGGAAGATAAAATGAGAGAGGGGAGAAAATGAAATAAGGGGAAGATGAAGGGAGAGAGGGGGGACTAAGGGAAGATGAAGGGAGAGAGGGGACAAGGGGAAGATGAAGGGGGAGAGAGGGGGGGACTAAGGGAAGATGAAGGGGAGAGAGGGGACAAGGGGAAGATGAAGGGAGAGAGGGGGACAAGGGGAAGGTGAAGGGAGAGAGGGGGCAAGGGGAAGATGAAGGGGAGAGAGGGAACAAGGGGAAGATAAAATGAGAGGGAACAAGGGGAAGATGAAGGGAGAGGGGGGCAAGGGGAAGGTGAAGGGAGAGAGGGGGGGGACTAAGGGAAGATGAAGGGGAGAGAGGGGACAAGGGGAAGATAAAATGAGAGGGGACAAGGGGAAGATGAAGGGAGAGGGGGGCAAGGGGAAGGTGAAGGGAGAGAGGGGGCAAGGGGAAGATGAAGGGAGAGAGGGGGACAAGGGGAAGGTGAAGGGGGAGAGGGGACAAAGGGAAGATAAAGGGGGAGAGGGGACAAAGGGAAGATAAAGGGGGAGAGGGGACAAAGGGAAGATAAAGGGAGAGAGGGGACAAGGGAAAGATGCAGGGAGAGACAGTGGGACATACTTACCTGGCACTTTGTTTAGCTGCTAAGAATGAAAGGAAATGCAATTTTATAAATCCACAAATTGATAAATTGCATACAAATTACACAAATTAATAATAATTATTAATTATTAATAATTTGTGTGTAATTTTTATGCAATTTATCTATTTTTGGATTTATAATAAAACCATTTCCTTTCATTCTGTACACTTCGTCATTCTCTCTCATTGCAGTGTGAACTACAGTTTACCTAGTGTATAACATATACATGTGCTTAACACTCATTTTCTAGTCCAATATCATTTAAACTTACAGTAGAATCTGAGCGTATCTTCAAGTCTGAAGAGGTAGGACTAGTAATCCTGGCAGTACGACTTCGTTTCACGTTAAGGTTCTTGACATGTTGTGGTAAACCAAAATTAGGGTAGTTGGTTGAGAAAACAGTGCTTCCAGAGTGTGGGTCAATTACCTTAAAACAAGTAGAGTAATACAAATAAAATGTCAGTATTTTATCCTTTAACACTCTTGTGAAACATTTTTAGTTTTTATTGTCATTTTTCTTTTTTATATTATAATTCAAACTATTTCTATATTTAATCCATGCAAAAGACAAGATTAATGGCTTACCTGGAAACTCTCAACACTGTGTATCTCAGTCTTGTCTGGTCCAACACTCAGCACGGGGGGGTTGTTGGAAGTTCTCAAGCTCAGCGACACCTGCCAACCAACCATAATTCACACTAACAATTGTTGATTTTTTTGCTTATGCCTCCAAATTACTGTATAGAAAATAGCTATTATTTCCCACAAATTTTCCTTTTATGCTGCTGGAGCCTTGAAGTATGGTGAGTATTACTGAGAGGTCATCAGAAACTTCAAAATGGTGGGTGGGAGTCCTGACGAGTCCCCAATATAGTTTGACCAAGTTTCCCCTACTATCTTTGCCGTCAGAAAAGCAAGGACATCAAGTCGCATTGCAACAGGTAGGGTAGGTCACAGTGAGCAGAGTTTTCTGTGGGAAAGAACAATGTCAAGTTTGAGTCACTGATGCCACCACTGCACATCAAATTGGGGCTGTTTGAAACAATTTGTCGCAGTTTAATTTGTTATAAGGAGTCAGCAGTTGAAGCTGACTTCCCTAAGCTGTCTGAGGCAATGGTTGAAGCTGGTGTCATTATTGAACCACATATAAAGAAGATCCTCGAGATACGAATCAAACCACACATATGATTTGATAATGGTTCAGGACAGACCAAACCGTCATCATTTCTCCATCCTCTGTCGTGTGGTTTGATCATCAAGATCCTAGAGAGCTAGGAATTCCCAACAAGCTGACTAGGAAGGAGAGAAAACTTGCTGGGCAATGTCAAGGCTGAAAGCTGAGAGATTGGTGATGAACTCTTGCACCATAATTGACTGCAGGATGCCCCTCAAAGCTCATGCTCATCTTAATCATTCAAGGAGAACAGGGATACAAGCTCAGAGGAACAAGGCGAGTACTTCTACAAGAATATACACTGACCTTAGAATATCCCTACCAGAGGCAGTACAACAAGAACATGACGGGTGACTACAGTTGGGGGCTGATTCGTGGAAGTGATTTACAGTACGTATAACTGTAAATCTTAAAAATACTCACTTCAAAATCTTTTGTGGTCATTTTTGTATAACTTTAGTATAAATATATGCCAATTTCGATTCATATGTTTTTTCTGACCATGTAAATGTAAAGACACAAATTTGCCCCACTTTCTCATTGGAATTAGGTAAATTTCAAAATAGGATTGTCCTGGTTACAAAAACAAAGTTTGAGGAGGAATAATGGCCTAATAGCCCTTTTCTATATTTCTTAGGCATAAGCAATTAGGAAATAACACTTACTACCCAGGAACAAGAACTCCATTGCACTGTAAATTCATAAACAAGCTCTACACCTCAATCTGCTATTAACCCTCAAACCGCTAGGGGCCCAAATGGAATTCACACCCACAGGCGCAACAAAAAAAAAAATTCCAAAAAATTCTTTCGTCTTATAGAAGTGTTCATTTTTGTTCCCTGATCACGGAAAAAATAACAAAAAAATCGTAGGTGGCATATTTTAGCCGCAATAGGGTAGGGAAGTGTGGCAAAAAAGGGGCATTGGCAGAGCCTTCGCCAGATGAGGTCTACTCCGCCCGAGCTGTCAGACGGCAGTTGCCACAAATATATTATTACCTAATTATTTCAATGTCTCTGATTGATTTTTTCTTAGTTTTTTTGCAGTAATATTATTCCATACAGTGAATTGTGGTATATTTATATTATAAAATGTGTGAACCATCGCTGTACTCAAAATTATGGTGTGCATATTAGTGATTCAATTATTATGTTCATAAAACAATAAACAAATAGTTTTGCTGTTGTTACACTATATACACAGGTTATATATAAGTATTTGCATGTTTTGTACACCATAACGAACTACTAAGTTGGTCTTGTGAGTCAAAAAGCAACGAGGAGTGACCGCCAAATACCAGCGAGCCACTCACTGCCACTCCCTCCCTCAACACCACCTCACTCGCCCTCATTCACCTCCTACAATACTCTTTCTGTATTTATTCACTATACACAGACGTTATATATACGTATTTACATGTTTTGTTCATCATAACTGTACATCTAAGCTTGTATGGTGAGTAAAGGCCACAAAGACGTAGCTACTCACACAGTCAGCTGATCGGCGGCCGCCCTCAAGGCCAGACGCACTAATATTTGTCCTTCAACAATATTGTTTGTGGTGTTATTACGCTATACTGTATACACATATTATATATAAGTATCTACCTGTATTATTCACCATACCTGAACAAATAAGCTGGTATGGTGCCCAAAGACCATAGTGGCCATCAGTAAACACCATGCCAAGACGTGCAGACGACGCTCTTCCCTCACCAAAATGGCGGCTCCCAACCTACCCCTCTCGCTGTTATCACACTCTAAACACACGTTATATACATGTATCTACATTTGTGTTCACCATATCGAACCACTAAGCTGGTATGGTGAGTGCAGTCAATAAATGGTGGCCACACACAGTCAGAAGACGACGCCACAACCCTCCCTCGCACAGCCTTACGCCTCCCTCCATGGAGCACAGCGCTAAATATCACCACAATCCTGCTATTATCAGAATCCTGGTCAGTTTTATCACAGTCAGGGGGCTTCAGTAATACTATCACTGCTAAATAATAGCAGTATCATTTATATTATGGTATTTGTAGGCGATGCTGTGGTCACAAGCTGAACAGCGGTGCTGTGAGCTCGTGCTGCGTGCGCCAGCCTTGGTGGCTTGCTCAATACTGACGCTCTAACACCCAAGAATGTTGGCCTGGATTTTTTTTCTAGGTGGCATCTGGCAACTATCGGTCGTGGCTGTACTATAGCTGCCCCTATCCCAGGCGGGGCGTTTAAATTATAATAATAATAATAATAATTTTTATTTAGGCAAAGGTACATACATAAAGAGATTTTACAAAGTTTGTTGGCTTTATAGATAGAGCTAGTACATACAATGCCTAAAGCCACTATTACGCAAAGCGTTTCGGGCAGGTATAGCTATAGATAGTATTATAGCGCTAGACACGAAATCATATATAAATGATGTGCGCAATTTCGGTTTTGTCACTGATATCATTTATATATGATATGCGCGGTTTGAGGGTTAACACTTTCTGGCCCCCTTCGATGGTAAAAAAAAAAGCGGTATGTGCGCGCGGCGTTTTTGCCACGCAAGCGTAAAAACAAAAATGTGTATACTCTTTTTACTCTCCTGACCTTAGTTCTCGAGCTACGTATTTCATTTTGGTACCAACGTGTTCGCAATAAAATTCTCTAGAAGAACATCAGTAAAAAAAGTCACGAAACATATAGGGATACCAGCACCAAATAAATAACTACGAAGATGACTCGCCGTGAGCGCCCAACAGCAACAAAATGTTTTTACTCTTGGGATTGTTATCACCTCCACACTTGTCCTACAGCGTTAATTTTGGTATCAATGGACTCGCAATGAAATTCCCAACACGGTGATATGAATATAAGCATAGAATAATGAATGCGGCCCACCCGCAAGAGTGTGGGAAGTGGTGAAATTGTTACCCGGTATCGGTGACGGGACGACACACGGCACTTTGAAAGTTTATACTTATTTCACTCTCATGACATTATTATTCTATGTACGTCATTCATTTTTGTGTCAATGTGTTCGCAATAGAATGTTCTATGAGCCCGTAGGTAAAAAAGATCAACAAAGCGTAAGATAGAATAGCGCCAAATATAAAACAACGCTGGAACATATCAGTGAGTGTCAAACACACACGAAATGTTTTTACTTTTGTTATGTTTGTCAAGTTTATACTTGTTGCACACAGTTATTTTTTGTTGTACATTGATCGGATTAAAATTCCCTAAACAGACATATGCATATAATACATGATATGGGGAAAGCATTACCAGTATAAACGGCTAAAGTCACCCACCTGCAACCCGTTTGGGACATAATACCATTTGATCGAAGTGGTCCACACCTTTCATGAACTTATTGTACCATGCAGCCTAGTGGTGAGAAAGAGCCTCATGGCGCGCAGTTTGAAACAAACCCAAAGTAAATCGGATAAAAATTGAATTTTATACAAATATTTTAAAAGAGGACATAAATTTATGTCCACCATGCGGGAGCGGGTAGGCGAAAAAGGACGCCGGGAGGAGTCCTGATCCGCAGAAAGTGTTAATTAATTTTAAGCTACAGTGTTACTTCCACTTACGAATTTATTCAGTTCCCAGAAATGGGTCATAACTCGGAAATTTGTAGCTTGATATGAATTTTCCCATAAAAAACCAGCGTTTTTTTTCTCCCCACAGAAAATTATTTAAAGCTTTTTTGTTCAAAGTTTAAGCTTTAATTGAAAAACTACCTATCACAAGTCACAGTATAAGCCTGAGTACTTTAAATATAGTTTCAGTAAACTGAGGTAATGACCTGGGAACGTTCAATTCCAGGGCATTTGATAATTTGGAATGCTGCTCATGGAAAATACTTTACACCCAATTGTATGAAGCTGTAGGGTGCTGCTGTGGGTGTTCTGCTAGTGTGTGACACTTGATTCTGCATTTTTCCATGGTGTGGAAGATATGATGAATAGATGAAGTATATTTCAAATATTGTTCTCCCATTTCTTTCTGGATGATGCCTCCCTGCACTATGAAAATAGCAAATAGGGTAATGACATGTGTGTATATATTAACTCAGTACAGTATTATAAAATAAGGAACTATTCCTGATGTTACGGTATAAATTGTTAATTTAAGAAATTAATGAAAATGCTAGAAAACAAACCTTGCTGTTGTCTCCTTGAATAGAGAATGGTGTATCAGAGTAGCTGTAAATCAACCCATCTCTCTTGTATACGTTACCCAAGTCTGCACGGCCATAGAACTTAGTAGTACTGAGGAATGAGATAATACAAGTTATGCCTGCATTGTAATAGTCTTCTTCCCACTAAGTACAAGTCAATGAGAAAATACATGAACATTTACCAATAAGCAGGAGATAAAGGAAATTAGTTAAAAACTGGAAAGGAAAGACAGGACCATCTTAGACTGGAAAAAGATAAAAGAAGGTGGTTGAGAAGGTACTCACAAGGGGAAGATAACAGAAGAGAGGGTTGAAAAGGCACATACAATACACACAATAGTAAAAAGAGTACAAATAACTCAGATTCTCATAGTGCGTATATAATGGAGAAAAGGACGGGGGGGGGGGGGTTAAAATTAACTAATTACATTATGAGTAGAGTACTATACTGAGCATGTAAAAGTCATTATGAAAAGAAGGCATCAAACTCAGAAGACTACTTAGTTGTTAGCATCAGAGCATAAAGTTAACCTACACTTTATGCCAAAGGTAAAAAGGCAGAGAATGAAGGCAAACAAATACAATAGGCTACAGGATACAGTACAGTCAAGGTGCCTTCCATAAAATTTAATTTTTATTCGTATGTTCTCTTTGAAGATAATTTTCACAAGACCAATATTACTAACTGAACAAGGCAAGGCAATATTTGGTTTATTTAAAACAAATAATCATAACACTTTACCTCCATGCCATAAACTGCTAATATAACTCATGAATGGAGCTAGTTTTCTACCAAATAAATATTGATATTTTAAGTGTAGGATAATATTTTTATAAAATGCATGAATAGAATACTTTGAATGAATTTAATAAATTACGTGAATTGTAATAATTACAGTAAAAGAGAAAAGTAGTTTAAGGTATTCCATTGGATGCTCACTGAGTTTCAGGAAGCAGCTCAATACTCTCCATGCCATAGCCAAGTCTGAGAACACCCATAGCGAAGAAAGTCAGGAGGAGGTTGCCAGATGCCAACAGCAGAAGTACGACCACCAGGCCCCAGAAGAAGCCACTCTCGCCATGGTGAGCCTCACTACGCTTGGGTGTAGTTTCTCGCTCACAGCTTTAGTTACACAGAGTACATATGAAATATAGAATATTAAGAATAGTATATAAAAAGCATAAGGTTTATTAATATAGTCAATGTAGGAGAGAATTGGTCTAGTTTGTAAACCAGACCAGTTCTGGTTTACAACCAACCAGTAAACATCTCTTCACCTTTCCCAGTGAATTTCAGAAAATATTCACTATGAGCAGGCAATTATCAGGAGAAAGCACAGCTGTTGGACCATAACAGTGCAGTAAGATGTGCCGAATTTGACACAGATTGACATTCATATCACTGAGAAGTCAGGACAAAGTTGTATATTTCAGAGAAAAATATTTTATTATAAAGAATCGCATAATCAGTTCCTTACTCGTTGCTAGACAAGGGCTACACAAACACACACCAACAGTCTTACTACATAAGTAACTAAGATAAGTTAACTAAGTTTATTGTTAAGTATGTACATGCCTGGTACATGCATAACTGGCCGACCCCTCACAGTGTTCAAGAGAGAACTGGATAAGCACCTCCAAAGGATACCTGATCAACCAGGCTGTGACTCATACGTCAGGCTGCGAGCAGCCGCATCCAACAGCCTGGTTGATCAGTCCGGCAACCAGGAGGCCTGGTCGACGACCGGGCAGCGGGGACGCTATGCCCCGGAAGCACCTCAAGGTAACCTCAAGGTAAGGTATGCCTAAGCAGAAAAGGGAGGCACAGCTCACTCTGTGAGGTGTAGGGTAGTGTCCACAGTTAAGCTGTGTTGCCATACATGTTACAAATACTCAGTAATTTTTGTCCTCTTATTTGTCATTTAGTTGCTCCTTTGAACATGTGTTGCTTGCTGGTGGGCTGTAGACATTTATGATTATCAGTTTATCTTCCCGATTCCAGACCTGCAATGCCATTATGTCAACTTCTCGAGGGTTTTCGATTATTAACTCTTTTTACCTTCAGGTGATCTTTCACTGGCACTGGCACTCCTTCCCCCTTCCTAGTTTTCCTGTCACGTCTCCAAACTGAGACGTGACAGGAAATCCCTTAGGAATACGACCTCATTTAAAATATTTTCTTCAAGTTCTGTCACTGTTAGTGTGACTATCTGGGACCTTGAGCTGAATTATATCTTTTAGCTCCAGTATTTTTTTTATCTCACTCCAACTATGTTGATACAGTACAGTATATACAATTTTCAGGAACCTGTTCCCTTTCCCTTTGTCCTTTACTTCCCCTTCCTCTAATGATTTTGTTGCTTTGTTTTTATGTGTCACACAAGGAGTGTGTCGAGGTCTATATTTCACATAAAAACTTGTATACCTGAAGCATACCTGGAGAGGGTTCTGGGAGTTGTTCTACTCCCCGAGCCCAGCCTGAGGCCAGGCTTCAGTATCACAAAGGAAGTAACAATGTAAAATGGTGTTAACATGGTGCCAAGTATGTAGCGCGCCCCTTCGTCATATTAAGTGTTTCACGGAGTACTGTATCTCACTGTCCAGACCTTCTAACTGTTAAATAATGGTGCAAAAGCCTGTAGTATACATTTATTGAGAATGTTTATATATTGATGAAAAATCTGGAATACATATTATATTTACTGTGAAAGAAAACATTTGTGTGGGCATAATTGTGACATAAATGAATGTGTGTATTGTACCTGGATGGGGTTCTGGGAGTTCTTCTACTCCCCAAGCCTGGCCCCGGACTATTCCCCAAGCCCGGCCCGGGGCCAGGCTTGATTTCTGATAATTTGGTCCTCCAGGCTGTTGCTTGGAGCGGCCCGCAGGCCCATATATCCATTACAGCCTGGTTCGTCTGGTATTTCTTGCAAGAACTTGTCTAAGTGCCTCTTGAATACATCCACCTTTGTTCAGTCAATATTTCTAATGCTTGCTAGTAGGGTATTGAACAGCTGTGGACCTCTGATGTTCAGACAGTGCTATCTGATTGTGCCTATGGCACCTCTAGTCCCCACTGGTTCTATTTTGCATTTCCTTCCATATCTTTCGCTACAGTATGTTGTTATTCTACTGTGCATATTTGGGACCTGGCCTCTTATAGATGTTTTATAATTACCTCTGTGATAATTAGTTTAGCTACCGTAATTGGTGTACTCCATACATGAGTATGGAGTGTACAAGTGGGTTGAGTGTGAGGGAAGATGAGGACTGGCCTGGTGGTGTACATGAGTATGGAGCATACAGGTGGGTATAGTGTGAGGGAAGATGAGGAATGAGCTGGTAGTGAGGGTGATTATCTTCGAGATGATTTCGGGGCTTAGCGTCCTCGCTGCCCACTCCTCGACCAGGCCTCCTTTTTGTTACACATCCCCAGGAAGCAGCCCATAGCAGCTGTCTAACTCCCAGGTACGTATTTACTGCTAGGTGAACAGGGCCTCAGGATGAAAAACTCTGCCCATTTGTTTCTGCCTCTGCCTTCCCGGCGAAGGCGGTGAAGTGCACTGTGAGGGAAGGAGTGAGGACTGACTTGATAGTGAGGGTAGTGGAGTGCGCTGTTGTAGTAAATTTGATTGGGCATGAACCCACTCTTTGACTTTGGCCGTGAACACTGTTTTGAACACTGGGACCTTCCAGCCCACTCTTTGCAGTGGCCTTGCGGCTCTATTTTCTTTGCCTTGTGGCATGTTTCTTCCGGCTATTTTCCTCCTGTTATGCCTTGTGGTGTTTGTGGGAAATTTGAGTATACTTCAGAAATATGCAGCATTTGATCATTCCCTAGGCTACCACCAACAACAGTCGACTAACACCCATGTTCGTAATCACTACTAGGTCAACAGAGGCAATGGTTGTTCCGAGACGTGCCCTGGTGGTGACGGTGGTGAAGCGAGCTGTGAGGGAAAGTGTGAGGACTGACCTGGTGGTGAGGGTGGTGGACCGAGCAGTGAGGGAAGGTGTGAGGACTGACCTGGTGGTGAGGGTGGTGGACCGAGCTGTGAGGGTCGCCCGCTCTAGGGTGCTGGTCGCTAGTGATGTACTTTCTGCTAGCAGTGAAGCGGCAGCGGAGTCACCCATCTTCTGATCTAATTTGTTCTATCAAATGAGTTGAAATAACCAATAAATATTTATTACAACTGAAGAGTGTTATCAGTAGTTGTATATAATAAATGTGATAATGCAAATAAATAAATGAATAAATGCTTAATGTGATCAATACAAACCCAAGCTCTAAAAATGGGGGAATTTAACAACGAGACAATATATTGGGTAAATCTATCACAAGCAGAAGGAAAACAATTTCTTGACCTGGTGCAGGACTCCTTCTCATACAACAAGTGACAGAGCCCACTCCAGGTAACGGCATTACGTTAACATCAGAAGAGAGCATTGTTGATCGAATTCAGGTAGGAGGAAAGCTCACCCCCGTCGTGTGATCACAATAGTCTAAGATGGAGTACAATTACAGAAACTCATGTAAAGGTCCAGGTGGATGACTTTCCTGATTACCATTGAGGAGACTATCAAGGAATGAGAGAGGAACTGCAAAACACCTTCTGGAAAGAGCTGATAGGTGAACATGGCATGGAAGCATCATGGGGAAAATTTCAAGGTCATCACTGAACTCATTAAAAAATGTGACAAAAAGGAGAAAGAAAAGAGAGGGAGCTAGATGATTGACACAAGTAGTAAAAAAGAGCTTTGTTAACTAAGTGGACCCTCTTGAGAAGGTATGAATCCACAATGAACATCACTGATTATGAAATATATAAATTGGCATTAAATTCAGCCACCCAGGAAATCAGATCAGCCCAAAGGAACTACAAAAGAAAACTTGGCCAAAACATAAAGGAAGATTCAAATTCGTTCTATGTTTATATACCGATAAGTAGTAAAACCACAACAAAGGACTCTAGGACCCCTAAAAGATGAAACTAACCAAGTTATATTGGATGATAGAAGGGCAACAAACACTTTGAATGAATACTTTACATCAATGTTCTCACTAGAAAGATTGGATGACATCCCATTATCCACACAAATGTTTGAATATTTACAAGCTCATGGAGAGAGGCCTGAGAGAGAGAGAAAGAGAATCATTCACCATCTCATAGAGAACAATCTTGTAAAATTGACAACATTGTCTGCATACTCTAAGACTGGTCTCACGTAGGCAGCATAAGAGCCCTAAATGCCTCCTTGCTTATGTTTGTTTAAAATTAATCCTGTCTTACAAATCTGATCACATTTTTGGAAACGGTAACCGGCTATTCAAACAAGGGACTTTCGGTAGATGTAGTTCATATGGATTTTGCAAAAGCATTTGACAAGGTATCACTTTAAAGATTGGCAAGGAAACTACAGGCCCATGGGTTAATTGGGAAAATACTAGAATGGATAAAACAATGGTTAAAACAAAGAAAACAAAGGGTCGGGCTAAATGGGAATGAATTTAACTGAAGAAATGTGGTGAGTGGGGTACCACAGGGGTCCATCTTGGGGCCAACACTTTTTATCATATACTGTACATCAACGATATAGATGAAAATATTAATTCATTGTAATATTAATTACACACCACATCAAATTTGCAGAGGACACTAAAATTTATGGTACAGTGGGAAGTAAAAATGACATTCAGGCTTTAGAAAGAGCTCTACATAAACTCCATAAATGGTCAAAAGACTGGAAAATTATTTTTAATATAGCTAAATGCAAGATCTTGCATGTGGGACTAACAATCCTCGTCACAACTCCCAAATTAATAGCATTACCTTGCAGCAGATGATTAAGAAAAGGACCTTGGAGTCAGAATTCATCATTCACTAAAAGTTGTACAACAAGTGGGAATGGCAGTAAAAAGAAAGAAACCCAAACCCAGGAAAAATCAAGCGTGCCTTCACCTTCAAGGAAAACAAGTAATCGTTCAATTTTATAAGTCTCTGGTGCGCCCCCACCTGGATTAATGCATCCAAGCATGGAGACCTCATCTTCAGAAGGATATAGCTGCTCCGGAGAAGGTGCAACATCGGGCAACAAAAATCATACCAGAGCTAAGTTATCTCTTGTATCAGGAACGGTTGAGTGCCACAGGACTAACAACACTGTAAACCGGGCATGACAGGGTGGATCTCATTGAAACCTTTATAATACTGAACAATTTGGAGGATGTTGATTCGGACAATTTCTTCAAAAGGTCAAATGTATTGCAGACAAGGAGCAACTGGTCCGTAGAATTCCCCAAATCTACCCAAATCCACCTAAATTTACCCAAATCCTCCTAGCATTACGTACGTAATGAAGAAATATGGTATATTTACTCACTATAATGTTGGTGATGAATGCAGAACATGATCAAACCTATTTTTACTCCGAAATAATCTAATTTCATAATGAAATTAGAAGTAAATCTGTAGCAGGTGACGACATATGAAGTCGACAGTCCAAGCGACAACATTGTGGAGCGACTTATCCAAGATATATGGTCGCTTAGAGTGTGTTTGTTGGCATATCACCCTCCTGTACATAGTGATCCAGTCGTCGCATTTCTTTGTTCAAATTGTTGCAAATTAAATTGGTGATATTAACAAGTAGAATGCATATTTGTAATAATATCTTTCATAAATGGCTACAAAACATTTAATATTTATTAAAAAAAAAACGTGTTTGGAAGTTAAATCAACTGCACAGGACTATAATTTTGTTATATAGATACTAACGTTATTCGTTGGTATGCGTTCGCTACTTAACCCTTTAACTGCGCAACGTGCCTGCAGGCCCAGGTCTGGGGTGCGCTACACGCCTCCAGGTATTTGTATTTTTCACGTTCCATTCAAAACTTCCGCGGCTACATGGGGTTCACATCAGCTTCCTCAGGGCTCTTGTAAACAGACGCCATCTTTAAAAAAATCATGGTCCACATTCCCGGGTGTGAGAGCCTCAGTAGTGAGCGAGCATCCAAGGCTGGCGCTCGCAGCATGAGCGCACAGCACTGCTGTTCAGCATGTGACCACAGCATCGCCTAATAATGTCAAAATATATATATATATATATAACCTGTATTATTTAGCTATAATAGTATTATAGAAGAGCCTGAGTGTGATAATGACTGGGTACAATGTTCAAATATCAGTGATTCAATGCTATTCACGATGTTCACAGCACTAGCCACAGCACCACAGCATTATTTCGTCCATCTAGGAATCTTCAAACGACTTCTTAGGTTCCTTTTCAAAATAAACTTGTGGTCAATTATTCATTTACAGGAATTAGTGACCAGGACTGTGGTTATAATTAGCGTTGTGTGTAGTATTGTGAAAGGAGGAATTTTGGTGAGGGAGGGAGGGAGAGAATTGAGGTAGCCTCATTGTGAGTGACAACCACTCTTGTTTTGCTCACCATACTAGCTTCGTGGTTCGCTATGGGGAACATACATGTACATGGGTATATACAGTGTGTATGTGTATATAGTGTAATAACAGCAACAGGAATATGTTCAGAGGAGCTATTTTGGTGAGGGAGGTGACGTCGTAATCGTAGCGTAGTCTGCTGTGTGATTTCTCATGCAGTGTATGGTGGCCACTGTACTATTTGGACACAATACTGGCTTACTTGCATAGTTCTGGTAAATAAAACATGTAGATAGGTATATATAACATGTGTAAATAGTGTAATAAAAACAATAACAGTATGGTGGGAGGAGCAGTATTGGCAAATACAATGTTGGAGGAGAGAGGGAGGGCTGGCTGGGTGTGGCAGCTCACACTCGCAGTGTTCTGAATGTGTTGATGGTGAATGTATATAGTGTGTGACAGTGTATAGTCTGTAAATAGATTGTATATATACGTAAATTAGCATGATACATGGTAAATATGTGCAACATATGTGTACACAAGTGTCATGCATGTAACACAGTGTCCTCGGACAGTACGGACGTTTTACTGCCATTATGTAGTTTGTGTGTTCATTATACATAGGATTAGCACGTAAAAACAAATAAAATGTATTTGGAACTGTGCGCAAAAAATGAGCAAAAATATATTTGCGGCAACTCACGCGCCCCGCCCTGGGCGCCCTACTGGCCCCAGGAGCATACGTCACGGGTGAACGGGGAATGATTACGTCACGTGCCAACTTACGGACCCCATAGCAGCCAAAGAAAGTACAATTTCAAATTTTTTTTGACATACCAATACTGAGGGAAAGGTTTTTGACACTTTAAAAAAAACAAAAGAATTTTTTCAAGGGAATTTATTTCCTGTGAACTGGGGAGGATGACATATTTGGAGGCGGCGCAGTTAAAGGGTTAAACTACTCGTGTCCTTTTCGCTCATAAAACACCGAACCCTACACGCTCTCTGATATATTGCTTAATTAATGGAGATCCACAAATAAACCTTATATTTGTATATGTTATCAAATAAGCAGAGATATAATAGTTTTTGTGAACCCATGACAGAGATTATACCTCATTAGAGACGAAAGACATTCATATTTTAAACATGGTTTCTTGGCCGACGATGGGAACCTATCGATGGGAACTACGACCTTTCGAAGATCAATGTTAATTTATTCTAGATACTGTAATAAACGAAGTTTTCTGTCATCATAGAGACAGACATATAAGCTGCATGTTAATACTTTAGCATAAATATAACTGAAGTGAAAGTGAAGATATATGCCTTTTTATAGTTACTTGATGGCTAGCCCAGGGAGTGTGAAGGTTTGCTCACAAGCCAATCAATTGTGTAATTCATTTGCATACATGCAAAGTAACATTAAAGGTCTATATATCAGAATAAAGACAGATAAACAGTTAAACAGATAAAGACAGTTTTGACGTATACTTTACGTAAGGCCAAAAATCATCGTACTGTACTAGAAAATGGTAGCGGCTCGTGAAATTGACATACCGTCCTGTTTTGGGTCCTCTGGTAAGTTGGGATAAGGGCACTTTAATAAGCCAGTTTCTTAATGTTGGGAAACCTTAGGAGGATGGGCTCAATTTCTTTCTTTATTATGCACCCCATACCCATCCCATGGGCGGTGGTGTAAAGGATTACAGAGGCACATAATCAGTTCAGGAATTGAACCCTCTAGTTCGTTTAGCTAAGCAAATAACAATTTTAGACGCTAGTGGACTGAGAACAGATGCTTTCCCACCCACCGGGTTATAACCCCTCGGAACCGCCTACCCGCCCCCAGGCATACATGCTAAAACTCGGCTAAACTTTAAAATCCAACTTGATAAAAATCACCAGGACAAATGGGGGGGGAAAGGAATACCGACAAGCCACCGGCTCCCTGTCCTCAAAGAGGCCACTAGTGTTAAGTGGCTTTGGTTAAGTTGTAAATTCAGGTAAATTAAAATTTTAGTGTCATTTTAAAAGTAAAAATAAGGTCAATATGTAACTTACATTATAATGAAGACTATAACTATGCATAAAACATCACAAATCCTAGCTCATTTGACGTTGAAATTAGTGGTGGTTATTTGCTTAGTAACAAGTTAACTGATAAACTTGTTGCAGAGTGTAGGGTTATCCCAGGTCCTCTACGCCCAAGTCGCAGTCACTTGTCTCAACTTGTTCACTCAACTCTCAACATCGCCTACAGGTACCTAATATTTAGTAGCATTTGGCACAGTTTGCCTCCTTACATGCACATTAAATATAATTCTAAGATAATTAAGCTGATAAATAGCTCATTAGGATAATGGACAAATAATAGTGTTCTTTACTGTAGGGATACGAAATAGTGTCGTCTGCTGTTGTCATTTGTATATAAACAGGTATATATATGCTTCATATATATTTATATATATATATTTATTACTTATTTATTTATATACAATCCAAATTCAAAATAACAATAATATAACAAATTTAGGAAGGTTTATCTCTGTATTTTGCAGACGCTTTTTAAAATTTATTAATTATAACGGCTAAACGTTCAAAGAAATCAAATAAAGTAAAATTAAGAAAATTAATGCAAATATTTTTTCTGAATATAAAATCTAAACTGCTAAATAAAATTAAATAAGTTGTCCAAGTTTGTATGAGGATGTATACCATAAATATTGATGAGGTCAGTGTTGATGTTGTGTGAGGTGTTGGTGTGATGAGCAGCGCCAGCAGCTCGCCACTCACACTCTGAGAGATTTTACTCACTGGGGAGCCCCATAACAGTAATGTGATGCACCCCATCACCTTATACACCTCTTCTGTTATAGGTAAAATTTGAGGCTTTCGCGCAATGTCGTTTACACTTCATTTGTTCAGCCAACAAAAGTTAACTATTGTAGCCATTTTTTTTGTTTTGTTTTTTTCCCCCCTCTAAAAGTATTGGTTGCTGTAACCCAAGATTGCATCACCATTGTTGGTGTTGGTGATGTATTTTACAGCATGATACAGTCAGGGGTGTTTTAAGTAAACGATGCACTTTTCCTGTTTTATGGTTTTTCATTGTTGGGGAGAGGAAGGCTTATGGAGGAAGTGAGTGTAAGGACTGACCTTGCCCAAGATGCACCCCACAACACTATCCTAACTCTTGGATACATATTTACTGCTAGATGAACACGTCCTGCGGCAATCAATCCCAAGATCTTTAGCTTGTAAACTGATATATTATGGTATAACACATACATTTTTACCAGCTTTTGGAACTTTCTCTCATTTTAATTTTATAATACAGCAAATTTTGTTTATCCATTACAAAATTTTAGGATTAAGCCTAACATTTATCATATAGGCCTAATTCTGTTCTTCCAGAAAATTTACTGGGTGGTTAAAAGAAAACTTATTTCAAGCTTGAATATTAAATTTTAATCAAAACATGAAGTAATTACCTAAGTGTAGTTACAGGATGAGAGCTACACTTGTGGTGTCCCGTCTTCCCAGCAATCTTTGTCATATAACACTTTGAAACTACTGACGGTCTTGGCCTCCACCACCTTCTCGCCTAACTTGTTCCAACCGTCTACCACTGTTTACAAAAGTGAATTTTCTTATATTTCTCCGGCAGCTTTGTTTTGTTAGTTTAAATCTATGACCTCTTGTTCTTGAAGTTTCAGGTCTCGGGAATTCTTCCCTATCAATTTTATTGATTCCTGTTACTATTTTGTACGTAGTGATCATATCGCCTCTTTTTCTTCTATCTTCAAGTTTTTACATCTTTAATGCCTCTAACCTCTCCTCGTAGCTCTTGTCCTTCAGTTCTGGGAGCCACTTAGTAGCATGTCTTTGCACCTTTTCCAGTTTGTTGATGTGCTTCTTAAGATATGGGCACCATACAACCGCTGCATATTCCAGCTTTGGTCTAATAAAAGTCGTGAACAATTTCTTTAGTATTTCTCCATCCATGTATTTAAAAGCAATACATTTTATCGCGTTTGCGTGCTCCTGGGTAACTCGTTCGCTGTCGGTAATGCCGGGGATGACGCAGCATTGTGTCATCCACTTTAACCCTTTCTCTGTTTGCTGCGGGTAATTAGCCGGGCTTTTGGAGTTTATATGCATTTAGGCCCGTCTTCAACTCGTCGGCGGTTGGAGTGTGACCAGGTTTTTTATTTTATATGCTAATGTTCCTCTAGAGAATTCTATTGCGAACCCATTGAGACCAAAACGAAAGACCTAGGACGAAAATTGAGGTGACCAGACTGAAAATAGTGAAAACATTTTATCGCGTTTGCGTGCTCCTGGGTAACTCGTTCGCACTTTCTCTGTTTGCTGCGAGTAATTAGCCGGGCTTTTGGAGTTTATATGCATTTAGTGTGCTGTAGAGAATTCTATTGCAAACACAATGATACCAAATTTAATCTCGTAGGACAAGAATTAAGGTGACAAAGTTGAAGAGAGTATACACTTTTCAGAATTTACGTGAGCTCCCGTGACACCCTGGGACCCAAATCGCACAGATGAGGGGTGGCGCGCGGGGTACGCCAAAGTGTTAAATTCCATTTACCAAGTGGTGCTCCATATACTTATTTTGTCCAGGTTTTCTTGAAGGGCATGACAATCTTCTAGGTTTCTTATCTTCCCTATTATCTTAGCATCATCAGCAAACATGTTAATATAATTCTGTATTCCATCTGATAGATCGTTTATGTAGACAATGAACATTACCGGTGCAAGAACTGAACCCTGTGGTACTCCACTTGTGACATTCCTCCAATCCGATACATTGCCTTTGATTACGGCCCTCATTTTTCTATCAGTAAATTTTTCATCCATGCCAGAAGCTTATCTGTCACCCCTCCAATATGTTCCAGTTTCCAGAACAACCTCTTATGTGGAACTCTGTCAAAAGCCTTTTTGAGGTCCAGATAGATGCAAGCAACCCAACCATCTGTTTCCTGTAAAATCTCTGTGGCTTGATCATAGAAACTGAGTAAATTCGTTACACAGGATCTTCCAGATCGAAAACCATACTGTCTGTCTGATACTACTGTATATCGTTTTTCTCCTAGGTGTTCTACCCATTTAGTTCTAATTATTTTTTCTAATATTTTGACTATTACACTTGTCAATGATACTGGTCTATAATTAGGGGGGTCTTCCCTGCTGCCACTTTTGTAAATTGGAACTATGTTAGCCTTTTTCCACACATCAGATACAACTCCTGTAAACAGGGATGCCTGAAAAATCAGTTGTAGTGGAATGCTGAGCTCAGGTGCACATTCTCTCAGAACCCATGGTGAAACTCCATCTGGACCAACTGCTTTGTTCTTGCTTAGCTCCTTTAGCATTTTCTCCACTTCATCTCTAGACACCTCTATGTGCTCTATGTTGTTCTCTGGAATTCTTATTGTGTCTGATTCCCTGAACCAGTTCCCTGGTTCATTTTGTACAAACACACTTTGGAACTTTTTGTTTAATGTTTCACATATTTCCTTTTCATTTTCTGTGAATCTATTTCCCATTTTCAACCTCTGAATATTATCCTTTACCTGCAGTTTGTTGTTTATGAATTAATAGAATAGACCTGGTTCTGTTTTACATTTCTCCGCAATTCCTTTTTCAAAATTTCTTTCTGCCTCTCTCCTCATTGCCGTGTAGTTGTTTCTCGCATCTTTGTATCGCTGGTATGTTTGGGGGTTTGACCTCTTCCTATATTGATTCCATTTATGTATCTCTTGGTCTCTGGCCCACTCGCAATTTCTGTCGAACCAATCGTGTTTCCAAGTTCTGCATCTCTGCTTTGGAATAAATTTTGTTGTGCCTTTATCATATATTTCACAAAACTTGACATACATCTCATTTACTTCACGTCCTAACAGCAAGTCTTTCCAGTCAATTTCCTTAAAGAAATGTCTGAGTTCCCCATAATGACCTCTCCTGAAATCAGGGTCTTCAACTGCTTCAACCTCATTTTTTTCAAATTATAACGCATAGCATACTTTATTCCCAATAAGACATGGTCACTTTTACCTAAGGGAGGGAGGTACTGAATGTCAAATGTCTCTTCCTCTTTCCTGCTAAATATAAAATCCAGCATGGAGGGAACATCCCCTTCCCTCATCCTCGTAGCTTGTTTAACATATTGAAACATGAATGCTTCCAGGATGAGGTTTACGAATCTACAAGTCCAAAAATCCTCCGTTCTAGCTTCATATGCCTCCCAGTCTATGGATTTTAAGTTGAAGTTGCCGACAACCAACAGTCCTGATCTATCTTTATCAGCTCTGACTATAATTTCTCTCATTATTGTTATAAGACCCTCTCGTTTATTATCTAGCTCCTCCTTTGTCCATGTGTTGCTTGGCGGAGGACTATATGCATTTATGATCGTTAGTTTATCATCCTGATTGCAGATCTCTAGTGCTATTATGTCAACTTCTTGTGGATTGGCAATTATTATTTCGTTTACCTTTAGGTGTTCTTTCACCAGCACAACAATGCCACCACCTTTCCTAATTTTTCTGTCCTGTCTCCAGACTGAGTAGCCTCTTGGGAATATGACCTCATTTAAAATATCATCTTCAAGTCTTATCACCGTTAGTGCAACAATGTCTGGTGTCTGCAGCCGTATTACATCACTTAATTCCAGTATCTTTGATCTCACTCCATCTATGTTGGTGTATACTATTTTCAGGAATTTGTTCCCCTCTCCTTATTCTTCACTCCCCCTCTCTCTAATCCTTTTGTTGGTTTGCCTTTATGTACCACTTTACTGGTTTGTCTACCCCTATCACTTTGTAGAAAAAAGAATCGATTTCTTCTTCAATTTTCTTTGGCATTACAGTATCTGCTCTGGGCTGACCGGGTATCTCTGATCGGGCTGCTCTGACCGGCAGCCTGGTCTCTTACCAGACTGCCGAGGTGTTGAACCTCAGAACCAGTGAAAGATAGTATAAGTTTATTGGGAGTGAGAGTGAACATGGGTGGCAGGAGTGCATATGGCAATTGTGGGAGCACAATTTATTTACTAGGTACTGAATTTCTCAACACTGTTTGCAATGCTTTCATCTCTCTAGCCTAATGGAACGTGAACATAATTAATGGATCAACATTAGGCTGAATAAACAAACAAACAAACTAATACTCACATACATAAAAACTACATACACAAACCATCACCCACCCCAACTGGTAATATGGTGGACAGAATTGTCCACCATATTACCAGAATTATGAATTGTCCACCATAATTGTCCATCATGTAGGATTGACTACAAGGTGTCAAACTACAGGTGTGTAGTCTTGCAAATAAAGCAGCTCTTTACTTCAGTACTAACACTGCACAGGTTTACCAGAAATCTCTTTAATTTCAGTGTCTGGCAGCAACTCTCCAAAGAATATCACAGCTTTGCCAGTGACTTGAACAATGCTGTATACTAAGTAAATGATATTATATTTGTGTGCCGACCATTGTGAAGTGCATTAAAGCTCACTTATATTTCCCAGTACTTAATTATTTCTGGTATGTACTATATCCTATACTTAGTTTTGTGTTCTTGCCATGAAAGGCTGAACAGGATACACTTAACATTGCATCTAGAAGATTTAAAAAGCAAAAGTTATCATTAACCATGAGTCTTTAATATTTACAAATGTCCAGTTAAATGTAGGCAGTAGCAGTGTTAAGAACATCTTAAATGATATGTCTAGGAATCCCCTGTTCTCCTTCATTGCTTCTAACTCTAGCTTCTATTTCTCTCCATATTTAAAAGCAATGGATATTGCTGTATAGTAATACAGTTCTTAAGATCAAGAAAATATTTTTATATTCAGGGTACCTTGCTGTAAATAATTTTTAATTAATATTAGAACAAACATTTCTGTACATGTACAGTACTAATATCAGTTAATGAGGCTTACGGCAGGCTTACGAAGGCATATATTGCTAGTAACAAAAATTGTATTGCCCTCTTATGCTAGGAGATGCATTGTTTCAATACCATTCTGAATATACTCTACTATGTATATAAAATATTGTGAAGCATTATTAAAGGTGTCATAATTAACGTACAATCAATAGTAAAAATCAATAGTTAATTTGTCTCTAATTTCTGCAAATAACCTTATGCTATATTGCTATGGTTAGTATAATTGGGAATAATATGAGAGTAACTTACCAGAGTAATTATTTACTAGTGGGTTGTGGTAGCTTAGTTGTGATGATGATGATATATGTACCTGCATGTGCTTTTCAGGTATGGTGATAATTCTTTATTTTCAAGTGCCAAAATAGTCTTCCTGATGAAGAAATTGTAGAATTTCACTTGTTTATTTTCTCCTGATGTTGCATGCTCATCACTATAGATACGAGTTAAGAGCACTTTTGTGTGGCTGATTGCATATTCTTATTCATATTATTATCTGTGACACTGTAGATTTAAGAAACTGACATGGCCTATAGTACAGTGCTGTGTATCTAAAATACTGTACTGAATTCATATGCAGTGAAAATTGTACTAAAAAAAAATAAGAAAAAATATTGAAATAACATTGAAGTTGAGTATTGTAACAAAATTATGTAATGTATTTTAAAAAATACAAATCAATCACATTTATGTAACTGAGGAAAAATATTTAATTTACACATTCAATAGAGAAATAAGATGAACACATTTTATTCTACTGTGAATGTTACTTAATAATGGTAATTTTCAGTTCTTTATTTCTATATATGTAGTGCCAAGAAAAACATAGTTAGAATTCTAGTGCAAATTTAGTTTGATGTTGTAGAAGACTGTGAAGTTGTGAGGAAGCATCATGAATACAGAGGGGAAAGGAACTTCACGCAGCATGTATGTCGTGCACTCCTGTTGCTTCCTCGTGGTTTGTAGCGATTCATTCGCATCAATTAATAGTTGCCAAGAGGTTTTCCATAGTATGGGGATGGAGGGCAGTACAGTCTTCTCAAAGTACTGTATGCTGTATAATACAGTATTGTACTGTATATGTAAATATAAATTTTGACTATTGTACTAGGAAAAACAAGAAATATTTATATAAAATAGGAATTTGAGATAAAATGTTATTTAAAACTTCATGTATGGTAAGATTATTATTTTGATATTGAAATATTGTAATGAATAGGTCTGAGTTAATTTATTTGTTCACGATTATTACCAATGTAATATAATAGGGTAAAATGGAGTTAATGCACTATATACAATTGAGCCAAGCTCTTGTGTGATAGTGATATGTCACAAAGGTTTATGGGTAGGCTGTCTGAACAGCCTGTTCTCTTGATTTGCCATAACGTACATTATACAGTCTACGTAACTAGAAACATTCTGACCCAAGCAACCCTCCTAACCTAATCTAGCAATGTATAGAAAATGTAGATATTTGTGTGCTGCTGCTTTTCACAGTACAGTACTTTGTATTTTGTATAATACAAAAATACAAAGGACCATAACGTACAAAATGTGATGTATTATTTGAGAGGACAGGTTGGTCTGAAATATACAGAAGAGGGTTTTCGTGATTGCTCTTGCAAATCTTTATTGGAGATTTATAAACCGAATTAATGCATAAGCAGTATTCTTTAGAAAATATTGTAATATATTCTTTACTATATATTCCTTTACCAGTATGGAAGGTTTGACTGAAACCATGATGAATCTGCGAGTCGGGCAGACAGGTGTCGGCAGAGTTGCTGTCGGAGATGATGGAGTGGTGGTTGCTGGAGAGACCTCCATTGGAGGTCCTCCGTCGCCAACAGGTTTGCGTTACACTTCAGACAAGCATCCCAAGTTGGCTTTGGCAAACATAAATATGCTACAGAAAAGAAGAGAGTTGTGCGATGTTGTACTCATTGTGGGAGGCCGCAAGATCTTTGCTCACAGGTTTGTGTCTATTCTGTCTTATACTTTTTATAAACATCTTGGCTAAAACTGAAAGTACTGTTGTTTTAATATTTCACTGGAAGCATATTTATTTAATATTGCATGCAGGTCAATTTATCATATATTTGTCACTAATATTTCCTCTACTTATTTATATTTTATCTGTATTGCTTGCTTGCTACCTTTAAGATTTTGCAGGTGACATTTTGCACTGTTACACCAGGGATTTTCTTCAAGCATCCCTACCTGGTCATATTGATGCTAGGGATCACTGGAAAACGGCTAGGTCTGGCCAAGAGTGACAACAGTAAGATCGCTCGTAAATACTGTAGTACTCGGAAGCTTTACCAAATTTTAGTTGGTATCACTGGGAGTACCAAGTAGCACTTTGACCACACTTAATTTCCCATGTGGCTGCTGCTGCCAACTACCACCATATGGTATCACCTTCACCAGTACCTGGTCACAAGCCTTATACAATTGGTGATTTTTTCTTCAAAATACTGTACAGTAATGGTAATTTGAACCTGTTTGATGTCTAGAGTCTCCTTGCCTCTATTGATGGCGTCAAATTTTGGTCCAGGCTTCCAATAGGCACATGATAATCCTAGAGCCTGATGCGGTATCGAAAGTTTGGTGAGCCCGAGGTGGGTAGCTTGAAGAGCCATCAATGGACCTGCCAGGAAGAGAGATTTCATTATACTGAATTCACTACTGGAATTTTGGCATGTATGTGCAGTGACCTATGACTGCCTGTGACTGTGATGAATGATATTCATATAGCAGGTTTGCCAATATGATAAAAAACACACTTTTCTGGGGGGAGCCCCTTGTGGCTCCCTAAAGCTACTATGCCAATATAGTGCCAGACTACAAGGTGCCGTCGGTCGCAGAGTTCTTATGACATACTGGGGGACCACAAACCAGAACCTGGCCCCCCCTCAGAGAGGTGCAGGGAGCAGTGGCCCTATGAAAAAATTTATGTAAATTTATGACAGCCAGAAATTAACCAACCGTTACATCAATTCGTTGATGTAACGGTTGATGTAACCGTTACTTCCAAATTTGCCCAAAATATGCAATAAATGAAAACTGGTTCGATTTCAATCAAACTTTTTTGACGAATTGTACTTGAAAAGAGTTTCATCTGGTCCAAGTCTCAGCATCGGAGCATAAATAGGAAGGGAGAACAAAAATATTGAAGTAGGTGTCAAAATTATTCCAAAATGGTCAAAAACAATTATCAAACACAAGTGTCAATTGAAATCATATCTATGACTCAGCTATCACAATAGCATATATTAAAAAAATATTATAATTAGTTTTATAAGAAAAAAATTTAAGTTAATTTTTTTTTTTTTTTTTTTTTTTTTTTTTTTTTTTTTTTTTTTTTTTCTTTTTTTATCGGACAATTTGCATGAAACTTATACACCTGACTGCACATAAGCCTATCTGTAATGGTGCCAATTTTGGAGAAAACTGGTTGATGTCAACCTCAGCCACAGATGGCAGCACCTTCAACTATTATTTTTGTATTTATTTTCAAGTAACATAAACATTCAAATAACTTTTATATTTTTTATTCAATTTACATGAAACTTACACCTTATATGTAAAGTGTACAGGGGTACCTCAGTTTAAGAGTTTAATTCGTTCCTGGAGACGGCTCGTATTCCGAAAACTCGTATTCCGAAGCTAATTTCCCCATAAGAAATAATGGGAAATGAATTAATCCGTTCCTGACTACCCCAAAAACCCCACATCAAACTAAATTTTTATACCTAATTCATCTAAATAAACCTACAAAACTATGTTCAAGTTATTACTTACCCTTGCTGAGGACTGCTGTTGGTGTATGGAAGATGTGAGGAGGGGGAGGAGGAGAGGTGTTACTGTTTGGAAGGGGAGTCCCCTTCCATTATAACATCAGGCAGTGAGGACTTCACTGGTATGCACACTCTGCCACATTTTGCCTGCATACCACTAGGACTTGTGTGTCTTACTAAGAATCTGTCTAAAGACACTTGTTTTTCCCTACATTTTAACACTTCTCTGTAGTAAGACATCAAATTGTCATTTAAAAGGTCAATGCAACGGCCTGCTACAGCTTTATCTGGGTGAGTTTTTTCAACAAAACTTTGCAGTTCTTCCCATACTTCACACATTTTCTTAATCAAGAAGGGACATCCTCTACTCACAGCTATTTTTTTAGGTTGAACCTTATCAATGGCTTTCTTGAGACCCATGGCGAGATATATAATGACAACTTTTATGCTCAAATGGCCAAAAAACCGACAAAAAACTGTAAATCCTTGTGAAGAATTCAGGTGGGACAGTCACTGGGCGCGAGACACTGTTAAACTGAGGTGCAATCGCCGTGCCACCGTGCGCTAGTCGGCCTGTACACGTATCAACAAACTCGTGTTCCGAGGTAACCCTCGCCTTCCGAGACACATTTTCCGAGGAAATCCTGCTCATATTCCGAAAAACTCGCATACAGAGACACTCGTGTTCCGAGGTACCACTGTATGTCTCTAAAATTGGTAGTGAGCTTTTTTTCCTAAGTTCATTTATAGATTTTATAATAGCAATAAGCATGACATATTTGCATAATTTTTTGGGGGAACTTTGACTATTTGTATTAGGAAAACTAAAGATGTTTTGGAAACTATCTCACTACCAATCCTTTATTATATGCTAATGTGTCGGAAAAGTGTCATAGAATGATTATATCTGAAAGGTGTGTTTGTTTATTTAAACTTGAAAATGTGTAAAATTCGTTGGAAAAAAAAAAAATGCCCCTTTCTATTTATGCTGCAGTTTTGAAACTTGGAACAATTGCAGCCCTTTTCATATACAACTAGTCAAAAAATATTGGTTGACATTGAACAACTTTTCCAAAACCATTCGAATGCCCCCGGGAAGGCACCCAGAAATTCAGTGAAATAAAACAAACCACTGCTTGGTTAGATAACCAGACAGCAGACTCAAATCAGCCAAAATAACTCCCCCTGCAATGTAAACAAACAGCAGAAAATTTGTGAAACGGCACGAGCTGTTTCGACCCTACCTCACCTCTCATTTAGCGGGAAGTGGGAGGCAGACCGGGTCATCCAGCTGCTCCACCACCATTTCTCATCCTGATGTATTTGTGCCTGGTCGCCCGCTCAGTTCACTCTGGCTCCAATCTCCTTTCATCAGCTAAGCAGTGTTTTGAATTTGAGGCCTTTCCTGCGTACGTTTGTGCAGCATGAGCCAGGAGTTTAGTGTGTGTGGAGCTGCATGTGCTCAGGGTTTACTTTCCTGTGTGCTCCTCGAGTACTGCCCTTGCACTGTCAGGGTTCTCTTCCCTGAAATATTTGGGGTTCACTCCCTTAGGGGGATCCCCTTGCTTCTGGTGGCCCTCACCCATCAGGTAAACTGGTTGTCTGGGACTGTCTTTTTGCTGGGTCTGGAGTTAATCATGACTGGTAGGGCACACTGGTTTGCATGACCTAGCTGGTACACCAAGGTAGTCCATCCAACTTAAATGCCCGGTTGGGTCTATGATTCTTCCTGGTTTACTTGTGCTCCACAGTATGGTGCTTGAGAGTTGCATTTTTAGTTTTATACTTTTCAGTTTTTTTAGGCTGTTTCCATTCATTTGGTGGAGTAATGCTGTGTGTGAGAGGACCTGGATGCAACCAACAATGAGGAACTGAACACCTGGGATCCTCAGATTCAGTATGGAGCAACATACTAGCTCAAGATTGTAGCAAAATGACAGTGGGAGTATGCTACAGAGCTGACACAGCAGCAGCAGAGGAAGTTGCTGATCTGCATAATGTAATCAATGCGGCATCAGAAACCCAAACCCCTAATAATGAGGGACTTTAATAATGAGACCATAGATTGGGTAAATCTAACATCACAAGCAGGAGAAAAATTTCTAGACCTTGGTCAGGACTCTTTTTCTCATACAGCATGCAGTAGAGCCCACATGAGGTAACAGCATTTTAGATCTTGTACTAATATCAGAAGACGGCATGATTGATCAAATAGAGGTAGGGGGAAAAGCTAACCTCCTCATGTGATCACCATATTTTAAGATGGACTAGAAACATAGAAACCCACATAAAGGTCCATCATGATGAATTTCTAGATTACCATCGAGGAGATTATCAAGGAATGAGAGAGGAACTGCAAAACAACACCTGCCCTTGGTGGTTTTCTCCTGTGAGACCTGGAATTCGCCTCTGTACTGAACCCGCCTCTTTTGAGTTCGATTCCTCTTCCCTATACTGGGTGCGTTACGAGGTCCGATGAGAGTACAGCGTACATTCAAATCTGTCGGTAGTGGAATAGCTCTCTCAGAATATTTTAAACATGCTCAAAATATATATTTATGTTACTACAAAATTTTTGAGGATAATGCTCTGCAGTTCTGATTTCAGATTTGTATTTACTTTTAAAGTTGCATTAATTACAGTAACATCTCATTTTCTTTGCAGAGTTATCTTGTCTGCATGCAGTCCATATTTCCATGCAATGTTCACGTCTGAACTTCTAGAGGCAAGACAAACAGAGGTGCCAATACGTGACATTGATGAGCACGCAGTAGATTTGCTAGTTAATTTCTGCTACACCTCAGAAATCACAATAGAAGAGTCCAATGTACAAACTCTTCTACCTGCAGGTCAGTACAACATTTTTGTTTTATAATCAAATATTTAATTAATTTCTTAGCAGACAGTGATCTTGTTATCTGTAATTTTTTTTTAATTTTTAATTTAATTGCATTGTCTAGATAAAAGTTCAAAGTTTGTCATGAGGCTGGAGTATTCATTCCGTGATTTTGTTGGACATATCGGCACAATCAAGGAACATCCGTGCACCATGTCGGCTCCAAATGCACTTGTTGTGTCAGTGATGGCTGACTGGTGGGTGGATGGGCAGGAAGGGAGGGATGGAGTGGCTGAAATGTAGGCAGGGAGAGGCAAGGAGGAAGGCAGAGCTTGGGAGGGAGGCAGGCAGATGCTGGGTGGTAGGCAGGGAGGGAGGCAGGCAGGCAGAGCTTGGGAGGGAGGCAGGCAGGCAAGAGGCAGGGAGGGAGGTAGGCAGGCAGAGGCAGCAGGGAGGGAGGGAGGCAGGCAGAGGCTGGGTGGTAGGCATGGAGGGAGGCTGGCAGGCAGAGGCTGGGTGGTAGGTAGGTAGGGAGTGGATGGAGATGGATGGTAGGATGGAGATGGATGGAGGGATGGATTGATGGATGGATGGATGGTGCTATGGTTGTTCAGGTGAAGCAGAGAGAGCGTGTGTATGGGAAGTTTTGGGGGAAAGGGGTGTCGTTGGTGGGGGAAGGGACCAGCTCACAACCAGATGTTTAGATGGAAGGAAGGAGGGATGGAGGGAGGAAGGGATGGAGGGGAGGGGAGGGAAGGAGGGAGAGATGGAGGGAGGGAAGGAGGGAGGGAGGAAGGGGAGGAGGGGAGGGATGGAAGGAAGGAGGGAGGGAGGAAGAGATGGAGGGAGGGAGTGAAGGAAGGAGGAAGGGAAGGAGGGACGAAGGGATGGAGGGGAGTGATGGAGGGAAGGAGGCAGGGATGGAGGGATGGAGAAAGGGTAGGAGGGAGGGAGGGAGGAAGGGAAGGAAGGACAAAGGGATGGAGGGGAGGGATGGTTGGATGGAGGAAGGGAGCTGGGAAGGAGGGATGGAGGAAGGGAGCTGGGAAGGAGGGAGGGAGGGAGCTGAGAAGGAGGGAGGGATGGTTGGATGGAGGGAGGTAGGGATGGAGCACAATGGATGTTGAAGTGAAGCAGACAGCGTGTGTATGGGAAGTATGGGTGGGGGGTGGGGGGGGGTGTCAGTGGTGGGGAAGGGAAGAGATAAGCCTAACACTTGACCCAGTTAACCAGATGTTTCTTAATTAAATTCTGGATGTACATCATATATATTTTTGCTTGCAGATCTTGTTTAGTAATAATATTAGGGAAATAAAGTTATAAAATACTTGTTTCATGAATGCTTTATTAGATGGAGATTCTCCAGGCTGTCTCTGGCTGGCTGGCAGTCTACTGAGCCATTTCCCAGAAGGGTCTTGGGGAGTGGGGGGAGGCAGAAAGTGAGGGTGTGGGGGGAGAGGTTTAGTGAGGGTGAGGGAGGGGCTGAAAGGGGTAGGCGGCCTGCTTGCCATGTGAGGACCCTCTGATACCAAGACAAACCCAATACCGACCTTCGGTAATATCGACCGCCAGACCGTTATATGAGGCTCTAAATACCGGTCTCCCAAACCAGTCGTTATTACCGGCAGATCGGTATAAAAGAGGCCGTTAAATTGAGTGGATACTGTATAATGTGAGATGGCTTCTATACAAAGCGAGACATTTTATTTAGCTCTAATGTTGATACCAATATTTACAATTAAAAATTGTTGCTGTAAAATATTGCAGATATGTAATATTGAGTAAAATATAAAGCAGCAGCAAAGTCTATTTTTTTTGGGTAATAAAATGTGCTGTTTTCCCTACAGCATGTTTACTACAAATGCAAGAAATTCAGGATGTATGTTGCGAGTTCCTCAAGCAGCAATTGCATCCTTCCAATTGTCTTGGAATCCGTGCATTTGCTGACACACACTCCTGCAGAGATCTCCTCCGTATAGCTGACAAGTTCACTCAGCATAATTTCCAAGAGGTGAAAATTATTATATTTTACTATAGTATAAGGATTGAATGTACAGTTAGCTCTTGATTGTGCAATTATCATAATTTTCTGAGGTATCCCCTGGACTTCTTCATGATAGTCAGAGCAATGTGACATCGTACATTAGCACAGCAGGAATGTTATTAGGATCTTATTACCCATTCCTGCTGGGTCAGACTGGTGCTTGGGAGGCAATGAAGAAAAGCTGAATCCATCCTAGAGTGACTGTAGGTGGCTCTTGATTTTGCAGGGACTACATTCCTGTTTGTGTATACAGTACTGTAAATATAATAATGAAAATAAAATGTAAATAATTTGATGCAAAATTTGATGATGTAAATAAAAAGTTTAATGCAAATCAAACCTTAAGGTACAGTATATGGGAAAAACAGACTTAGATGCCAGAGACATTAAAAAATCCACTTTCTGCCTTCCTTTATTCAGTAAAATGTTTTCTATATTCAATAAAATTCCTGCTTACCAGTACAGGGGTTCCCGACTTAGTAGCAGTCCGAGAAGTCATTCATAAAGCAGTTAGTTGTTCAGAACATTGACCCAGATTTTCCATGTAACTCTTATTTTTCAGTTCTGGAAGCCATTTTGTAGCATTCCTTGACATCTTTTCGAATTTATTGATGTACTTCTTGAGATATGGACACCATACAATTGCTGCATATGCCAATTTTGGTCTCACAAAAGTCATGAATAGTTTCTTTAGTATTTCACCATCTATGTACAGGGGTACCTTGGTTTACGAATTTAATCCGTTCCTGGAGATGGTTCGTAACCCGAAAATTCGTAAACTAAAGCGAATTTCCCCATAAGAAATAATAGGAAATGAATTAATCCGTTCCTGACTCCCCCAAAAATTTAACTTCAAAGTAAATTTTATACCTAATTCACTCAAATCTTCACTACAAAAGTATGTACAAGTTATTACTTACCTTTACTGATGACTCCTGTTGGCGTATGGAAGATGGCGAGGAGGGGGAGGAGGAGAGGTGTTACTGTTTGGAAGGGGAGTCCCCTTCTGTTATAACATCAGGCAGTGAGGACTTCTCTGGGGTGCTCTCTCTGGGATGTTTTGCCTGCATACCAGGACCTGGTTATGGCTTGCTGCATAATTTTCTCACTAGGAAACATTCCATTGAAGATTGTTTTTCACTATGCAACACTTGTCTGTAGTGAGGCATCACATTGCCATTAATAAGATCAATGTGATGCCACATACGTTGCCTGAGCCGTCCTGGTCTTTGGACAGAGTGCTCGCTTTCCTTTCATCTCCTCGTTTCGTTGTGGCCCCTTCGGTCCAGGATTGTTTTTCCAAGGCACTTTTCTTGTTGGCTTTGGCCTCTGCGAGTCGGGTAGGGGAGCTTCATGCTCTCCTCCGGCGCAGGGGTTTCTGCTCTTTTGGTCGTGGTGATTGTTTTGTTCGTTTGCAGCCGTCTCCTTCTTTTCTGGCGAAGAATGAGACTGCTGCGTTCCGGAGGGGTCCATGGGTGGTTGATGCTTGGTTGGTCAGGCCGGGGGTGCATCATGTTTTGTGTCCGGTTGCGGCGCTTCGCCGTTATTTGCGCACCACAGCTTCTGTGTCCGGGGACGCGCTGTGGGTTGATCCGGTTTCCCTTCTTCCCTGTTCGCGGGTTCGGGTCTCTCAGGTCGTCCGCAGGGTTATTAAGTCCAGCCAGCCTGCGGTCTATCCCCGTGCCCATGACGTTCGTAAGTTCGCGGCTCTTGCTGCCGTCTTTGGAATATGTCTTGGTCTGATATTCGGGCGCGGGGATTTTGGCGGTCGAACAGGGTCCTGGCTGCTCGTTACCTTGTGAATGTCCCTGGGCCTCGTCGGGCCTGTGTTGCTTTGGGTCGGCGGTTGCAGCCAGTTGTCTCGGCTTCGAGTTGAGGAGTGAGCGACGACCGCCTCCCGGGTAAGTCCCTCTTTTTTCTGTCTGTGGGTAGTTAGCTCCGGGGAGCCGACGGGGCTCCCCCCAGAAAACCAGTGTTGAATGTAATGAAACGCCATTTTCTGGGTGAGTCCCGGAGGCTCCCCGGCAACCCTCCCTCCCTCCGGTCGGCGGTTTTTCGCGTTTTTGACATCCAGCCTCAAGAACTGAGGTGTGGGTAGCCGGCGTGGGGGGTCTGGGGCTCCCCCTTCCCCCTCCCGGGGAGGGGGGAGCTGCGCAGACAGCGGCGCGGCGGTGTGTGACGTCACACTAGTTTGCTTGTTTTCGGTTATGGAGTTCTATCCACTAGTTCTGTTTTTGGTAGCAATTTTAACCAGAGAAGTTAAACAAACCCCTTTTAACAAGGGGTTTGTTTTGAGGCGCTTACCTTTCTGGGTGCCTGTTTCGGTCGATGGCAGACATAGAATGCTTCCAACTACATGGGGGCTTCTATAGGCCATTGCTCCCCTTGCCTCTCTGAGGGGGCCCGGTTCTGGCCGTGGTCCCCGGTAGGCCTAAGAACTCCATACACATGACTGATGCCAAAGTCTGACATTAGCATATCAGCCGGTAAAGCTCCAGGGAGCCTCCGGGACTCACCCAGAAAATGGCGTTTCATTACATTCAACGCTGGTTTTATTTTCATAAGGTTTTAAAGAAAAGCACTCTTTTTACAGTTTAAGGGCTTTCTATTAACTTGAAATTAGGAAACTAAAAGGATTGTCAGACATTATTACCATGCAACAAACATTACCACCATGTTGTAGGAATATAGGAACTTCCAGTACACTACATATTTAATTGTTTCATTTTGTTTTGAAGGTGATAAAATAAAGACACTTAAGAGTTTGTGTATCACTTGTCAACATGTTATTCAAAAAGACACAGTGATTATTGGTTTTTACTATTGGCCTTATTTTTTTTTCAGGTGATGGAAAGTGAAGAGTTTATGGAACTGCCAGTCAATCAGCTGATGGATATTATCTCCAGTGATGAGCTCAATGTGCACTCTGAGGAGCAGGTGTTCAGTGCTGTCATGGCTTGGGTCAAATATAATGTCACAGAGAGAAGACCATACCTTGCTCAAGTAAGTTATGTCGGTTGTGTCAAATTGTTTAACATTTTCAATGTGCGTGTTCATTTCTTGCACAAAATGATGCCCATTTACAGATGTAAATAGTTATTTAACCACTGGGTTCTTAAAAGCATTTAAAATAACCCTCAGAGATATTTGGTAGGTAATACTGGCTTTGTTTCTTCATTGTATGAAGGCAAATTTTATTTCCATGCAGTCACAAATGTTTTGAAAGGTAAATTAGACCTTTATGTAAAGGATTAAGATTATTTAAACCTCATTTAAGCATTTTTAATTATACTGTTTTATATTTTTTTAGGATTTGAAAATTTAGTTTCATTAATCCCCAGATGCCTCAATTCCTGTAGGAACTGTACTAAAGTACAATACTGTATATTTTTTCTAGGGGAGCCCCATTGGCTTCCTGGAGCTATCCAGGCTGATATGGATATATTAGCTTTCTGGCATCAGTCAATGTGCATGGAGTTCTTGCCTACCAGGGACCACGAACCAGAACCTGGCCCCCCTCAGAGGCACGAGGAGCAATGGCCTATAGAACCCCCCCCCTTCCCGTGTGCTTGGGAGCATTCTATGTCTGCCATTGACTGGGTTTGTCACCCAGAAAGGTAGGTGCTCCAGAACAAACCCCTATTCTGGTGAAAATATTGCTACTGAAAGAGCTGAATGAGTGAACAGAACTCCCAAAACGAAAATTAGCAATATCGAGGATCTTTGCAACACGATATGTTGGTTCCTTCCCCGGATGCCCCGAGACTGCCCCGTTTTGGTTATAGGGACCTGGATTTGGGGGTGGGAGTTGCTTCGATTTTGGTTCCGTCTGCCCCTCCTTGTCCTTCCCCTTCATTTGTTTATCCAGTTCGTCCCCATTTGCTCCCGTGGCTGCTCTTGCCTTTTCTTTAGAGGTGAGGGGGGGGGGATGGAGGACGGCTCGACTCTGGGTTCTCAGGGTGAGGTTCCCGGGGCTGGGGAGGGGTTGAGTTGGGAGGGGTCTTGGGCCCCATTGGACCCCGCCTGGGATTTTGTACCCTTGGAGCAAGGCTTGGTGTTACAAGGAGAGGGGTTATATTTCGCTCCCTCCTCGTACGAATTGGATTTGGCGTCTACCCCTCCCCGGGTTCGGTTCTGTGATCCCATTAGCTCTTCGGTCCAGTCCTTCCGGAGATTTTCGGCTTCCTGCATCCCGTCCCATGTGGTGCAGGAAGCTCTTGCGGCTTACCTCCTATGCGACCCAGATTATGCTTTCATGATGGAGCAACGTTCCTTCGTGTATGGATCTTCGTGTCCTTACTGGGTTCGTTATGAGTCGTCCTGGTTGGCAGACTGCCCTCTCTTCTCGTTGGAGGCTTGGCATACGTTCTGTCAATCCCGCATGCTTGAGTGGAGGGAGGCGCAGACGGGGTTGCAGATTTTCATGAGGGGGGAGGGGGAATTTGAGCATCTCAATGCGTGCTTGTTCGCCCCTGCCCTTCTGCGTGATGTTGGTGTGATTCAGCCTCGTGTGCAGGTTCTTTCCCTTTCGGCTGCATTGGGTGCGGAGGATTTGCGCATGCATGGCGTGTTGGCTTTGGCCATGCACTTCTTCTCCCTCCTTGAGCTGTCCTTGTGCTGGCTTGAGGTGGATGTGGAGGTACTTGGGGCCGCCTCTGGGTCTGGTGCGTTGCCCTCGGTGGTGCATGCGTTGTCTGTTTTGTTGAAGCTGTTCGCACTGCTTCTGCGGAATGCGGTTTCGTGGTTTTTTGCTTCTCGACTCGTGTGTTGGCAGGCGGTGCTCTCTTCTTTAGAATCCACTCGGGCCCTGACTTTTAGGCTGTCTTCGCCCTTTTGTCCATTGTTGTTTGCTGAGTCTGCGGTTGTGCAGTATCTGCAGGCAGCTTCAGATAATTGCCGTCCTGTGTCAGATTTGTTAGTCCTCCGGTGGGCTCGTGGAGAACCTTCACAGCAGGGTCGTACCAGGGCTCGGGGTTCTTCCCATCATGGTAGGCTAGTACTGTAGTGCCAGATTTGCCAAACAGCCTTCGATACTGTCTGTTTCTGTTCGGAGTGGTGATTGTCCTGTGTGTCACTTAGGTGCTCGTAAGGTGTGTCGGCTGTTTCACGGTTCATCCCATTGTAGGGGCGGTGGAAGGGAGGCTCGCGCCTGGTCCCCACAATTTATGGGCATTTTGGGTTGTTTCATGCAGCTTGTGGTGGCGTTGGGTGGCCCCTCCTCCTTCAGGGGGGTTCGGGGCTGGAGGGGCAAGCCTCTTCTCCTGTACTGTCAGGTAGTCTCGGAGTGGATTCGCTTGGGTGTGGTCGAAACAATCTCGTCCCTAAGGTGAGTTTCCCGTCTATTTCCGGTTCCAAAACGGAACTGCGTGGACCTCAGGCTTATTCTGGTCTTGTCCCGTCTGAACCCGTTGGTTTATTACCCCTCCTTTCGGATGACTACTCTATCCCAGGTCCATCTTCTTTTGGAGTCGGATGCTTGGATGGTGTCCCTGGACCTCAAGAACACATATTGTCCCGATTCATCCGAGGTTCAGGGACTGGCTCGGTTTACTTCTGCTATTACTCCATTCCGCAAGCTGTCTCGTGCATTGTTTCACCTCTGGCCTGCTCATGCGCCGCCTGAGCCATCCTAGTTGTTGGACCGGGTGCTCTCTTATCTCTCTTCTACTCAATTTATTTGGTCGAAGTGATCAACACCTTTCATGTGGTTATTGTAGTCACAGATTGCTTTTGGTTTGTTCACAATGACCTGTTGCACTGAAGATGTTCCGTCAGGTTTGTGTACTCGTTTTCTTTGTTCCACTTCTTGTGTATCTGCACTGTGGCAAGTTGTGATGAGTGAAACATCTCGCTAATCTTTCCACAGAATTATAAAAGTATTGTCCTTCCGTCTGAATACAGTTTTATCTACTGGCAGTTTACCCTTTGCATGTAGCTGAAGATCTTTTAGTGCACCACGCTGCAATCTGAGAGTACCACAGGTGTATACACTTTGTTCAAGCTGCTTCTCACTAAGTTGAAATGCGTTATAGTAGTTACCCCATATATAAATGGTAACCTTTGTTCTTCAGGGGTTCAATCAAGCCCATAACCGTTTGAATTGTCTTCCCAATTCCTGTATTCATTTCAAAATCATAAATGTAACCAGTATGCAATTCAGCCAGCATGTACAGTTTTACTCCATACTTATCAGGTTTATTTAGATTATAAACCTTGAAAGATAGACGTTGATAGATTCCATGACATTGTGCCTTCATCCAAACAGATTTTTCTGAGGAATGTATACTGTTTTACATTGATGTGCTAGATCTTACATTACGTTCTAACTTTTCTTGGTCTGTCTTGATTGTCTTTGGGAATGGCATTACAGTATTGTTATGAATATGAAAATACTTTGCAATCGTTACATATTGTTTCGCTGCCATCATAAATGTTTTGAATGAAGGTACATACCACAATTTAGCTGTTTGCCAATACATAGTCATTTCTGGCATCTTCACAATGCCCATCAACATTGTCAGTCCCAAATATCTGGCAATCTCTCTTACACTCACTCCATCCCACTTATTGTTTGTGTTGTTAGAAGCACTGGACATGCTTTGTGATGCATTCAAGTTGGTTTCATATACCATATATTTCAGCCACTCTTGCGTAATAAATAAACCAGAACTGGTGCATGGGTTACGTGCGGTACGACTTCTAATAGCAGGGCCTGCACGGGTGGCGGTATAAACATCACCACAACCACCATCACCACCACCACCCCTCACCTGCTGTTTCAGTTTCAATCACCACACTATCTACATCTTTGTCACTTTTAGTACTTTCAAGATCAGAAAATTGTCCTACCTTGAGGTTACCTTGAGGTGCTTCCGGGGCTTAGTGTCCCCGCGGCCCGGTCGTCGACCAGGCCTCCTGGTTGCTGGACTGATCAACCAGGCTGTTGGACGCGGCTGCTCGCAGCCTGACGTATGAGTCACAGCCTGGTTGATCAGGTATCCTTTGGAGGTGCTTATCCAGTTCTCTCTTGAACACTGTGAGGGGTCGGCCAGTTATGCTCCTTATGTGTAGTGGAAGCGTGTTGAACAGTCTCGGGCCTCTGATGTTGATAGAGTTCTCTCTCAGAGTACCTGTTGCACCTCTGCTTTTCAACAGGGGTATTCTGCACATCCTGCCATGCCTCCTGGTCTCATGTGATGTTATTTCTGTGTGCAGGTTTGGGACCAGCCCCTCAATTATTTTCCACGTGTAAATTATTATGTATCTCTCCCGCCTGCGCTCAAGGGAGTACAGGTTTAGGCTCTTTAGTCGGTCCCAGTAATTTAGATGTTTTACTGAGTGGATTCTAGCAGTAAAGGATCTCTGCACGCTCTCCAGGTCAGCAATTTCTCCAGCTTTGAAAGGGGCTGTCATTGTGCAGCAGTACTCCACTCTAGAGAGCACAAGCGTTTTGAAAAGTATCATCATCGGTATAGCATCTCTAGTGTGAAAAGTTCTTGTGATCCAACCTGTCATTTTTCTTGCAGTTGTGACGGCTACTTTATTGTGTTCTTTAAAGGTAAGGTCTTCCGACATGAGTACACCCAGATCCTTTACATTGCCTTTTCGTTTTATGTTATGATTTGCCTGAGTTTTGTACATGGTTTCTGTTTTAATATTTTCAATTTTTCCGTAGCGCATGAGCTGGAACTTATCCTCGTTAAACACCATATTATTTTCTGTAGCCCATAGAAAGACCTGATCTACATCTGATTGGAGGTTTGCCGTGTCCTCTATGTTGCCAACTCTCATGAAAATCCTAGTGTCATCTGCAAAGGATGATACAGTGCTATAGGTTGTGTTCTGGTCTATGTCCGATATGAGGATGAGAAAAAGTACTGGAGCAAGCACAGTACCCTGGGGGACTGAGCTCTTCACGGTTGATGGGCTGAATTTTATTTTGTTGACTATTACACATTGGGTTCTGTTAGTCAGGAAATTGTAGATTCATCTGCCTATTTTCCCGGTAATTCCTTTTGAACGCATTTTATGTACAATAACACCATGGTCACATTTATCAAAGGCTTTTGCGAAATCTGTGTATATTACATCAGCATTTTGTTTGTCTTCCATAGTATCTAATGCCATATCATAGTGGTCCAGCAACTGCGACAGGCAAGAGCGCCCTGTTCTGAAACCATGTTGTCCGGGGTTATGGAGATGCTGTGATTCCATGTATTTTGTGATCTTACTTCTTAGCACTCTCTCAAAATTTTTTATGATGTGCGATGTTAGTGCTATCGGTCTGTAATTTTTTGCCTCTGCCTTATTTCCTCCTTTATGGAGTGGTGCTATCTCTGCTGTTTTTAGTATGTCAGGGATAACGCCAGTATCTAGGCTTTGTCTCCACAGAATGTGAAGGGCCTGCGATAGTGGTTGTTTACAGTTCTTGATGAATATGGAGTTCCAAGAATCCGGGCCTGGTGCAGAGTGCATAGGCATACTGTTTATGGCTTCTTCAAAATCTAGTGGGGATAGGGGCGACGTCTGATATATGATTTGATGTTGGTATCATATCCATGAAAAATTCATTTGGGTTATCAATCTTTAGTGCATTTAATGGCTCGCTGAAAACAGAGTCGTACTGCTTCCTCAGTAACTCGCTCATTTCTTTGTTGTCATCGGTGAAAGTTCCATCTCCCTTTCGCAGGGGCCCGATACTAGATGTGGTTTTTTATCTTGATTTTGCATAGGAGAAAAAATATTTCGGATTTCTCTCTATTTCACTGATGGCCTTTTGCTTTCTTTGCCTCTCCTGGGTTTTGTATGATTCTTGTAGCTTGAGTTCAATTGTTTCTATTTCTCTACCTAACCTTCTTCGCCGTTCTTGAGATAGGGTGCGACTCTCAAGTTGTTCCGCGATTCGTTTTCTTCGCCTATATAGGGAACGACGTTCCCGTTCCGATCTGCATCTCTTTCTCTTTTTTCTTAGGGGTATGCGGTTTGAACATATTTCTAGTGCTACTGAGCTTATTTTTTCCAGGCACTGGTTCAGGTTTGCATTTTCTAGCTGTTCTTCCCAGTTTATTTCTGTGAAGTCCTGGTTTATTTGCTCCCAGTTTATCTGTTTATTATTGAAGTTGAATTTGCTGAAATCTCCTCCACCGGGAATCTGGTGTCAACTAATACCTGGAATATTTTTGGTGTGTGTGTCACTTTTCTGTACTTTTGGTGAACACTACTTAGCTTTTCCCTCAGACGTGTTTCTTTCCTGCTTTCATCATGAACTGGCTTTGTTCTTGATCACCATCCATCTTGGAGTAAATGTAGTGTTTATAATGGCACTAACAAATATAGTTAAGGAAAAATAACCAGAACGGGCATGCGTTTTTATGTGAGCGGGAGGCCACAGCGGTCATGAGCGTGAACACAATAACAATTGATCTACTGTGTGGGTGGCAGTGCCATGATGCCGCATGGGCCATCACAGAAAATGGGAAGACGTTGGCGTACCTTTTAAAACAAGTCCCATAATGATCGGGGAAAAATTGATTTTTAACGGATATTTTAATTAAGGACGCAGCGTGAGTCCTCGCCCAGAGTGAGTATATTCCTTTAAGGATGCATTGAGTTATCGGCCAGGCAAAGTGTTAAGCACAAAGATACCACATGCACCAACATTCATGTATTTGCATGCATGCACTGTATAGTCTAATTCCAAAAGTGTATTATGATTATTTTCAGTATTTGATAGCAGCTTTGAGATCCTTAGCCAGTAATGACCTTCACTTACAAATTGATGGTTACAGCGCTACACTTGTTCTTTTCCAGGGCTGTTTCACTAGCACTAATTTAAAAAAATATATACTAATAATAGCTGAAGAAAATACTGTTCTTATAAGTAAATAAGTAAATTATTTACTTAAAATATTCTGTAAGAATTATAAGTAAAATATTCTGTTTTTATTCGTGTTGTTTGACTGTCCTTTTCTATTGCAGGTCCTGGAACATGTCCGCTTGCCTTTGCTCAGTCCAAAGTTTTTAGTGGGAACTGTTGGGTCAGATCTGCTTATAAAAAGTGATGAGGTAAAGTCAGTAGTTGTTAATTGTAGTTTGTACTCTTGTATACCTTGTCTCTCATCTATTTTTAACTTCAGTTATCTCATGCTTCTTTGCCCTTATAAGGTATCTTTCTGGGGGGGAAGTCCCTTTGGCTCCCCGGAGCTTACTAGGCTGATATGCTAATGTCAAACTTTGGCATCAGTCATGTGTATGAAGTTCTGTGGGCCTACCGGGAACAACGAGCCAGAATCTTGCACCCCCTCAGAGAGGCATGGGGAGCAATGGCCTATAGAAACCCCCGTGTGGTTGGAAGCATTCTGTCTACCATCGACTGGGTCAGGCACCCAGAAAGGTAAGCATGCCAAAACAAACCCCTATTCTGGTGAAATTATTGCTGCCAAAAGCTGAACAAGTGGATAGAACTCCCCTAAAAGAAACGAGCATGACGTCACGCGTCGCCGCGCCGCTGTCTGCGTAGCTCCCCCCCTCCCCGGGAGTGGGAAGGGGAAACCCCAGACCCCTCGCGCCGGCTATCCACCCTTCAGTTCTCAGGCTGATGCTAGATGCGGAGGTCATGTGCTTGGCTCCAGCGTTTCCAGCACTGTGCTCTGAGTGTGGTGGCTGTCTTCTAGGGGCCGTAGCCTGGTGGATAGCGCGCAGGACTCGTAATTCTGTGGCGCGGGTTCGATTCCCGCACGAGGCAGAAACAAATGGGCAAAGTTCTTTCACCCTGAATGCCCATGTTACCTAGCAGTAAATAGGTACCTGGGAGTTAGTCAGCTGTCACGGGCTGCTTCCTGGGGGTGGAGGCCTCGTCGAGGACCGGGCCGCGGGGACACTAAAAAAAAAAAGCCCCGAAATCATCTCAAGATAACCTCAAGATAGGGGGTGCGAGAGCCAGAAGTTGTTATACAGTACTTGGGCTGCATGTGCCTAGGGTTTTCGTCCCTAGGTGCCCCTGTAAGTCCCTAGGCCCCTTGGAGCTTGGGGCCACCTTCCAAGTTTCTCCTGCCTCTGCTAGGCCGTATTACTGCTCGGTTTTTAGGCTGCCCTCTGGGTGCTTGGGAGTTTTGTCTTCCTTGTTTACTGTAGGGTAAGGGGCAGTTTGCACTGGTGCGGGGCGGAGAGTACTGTGCAGCTTGTTTTCACCATTCACAGCGACCAGCTCTGTTCCTTGGGGTACGTTGTCCTCTTGCGGGGGTTTTGTTTTTCTTTTTGTTTCTGCCTTGTGGGGGGTCCACTTTGCTTCCCCCTTGGTGCCTTACCTGTGCACAGTTCTATTCTGGTGCAGCCCCCTGCTAGGTCCCCGTGAGTGTACACGTCCCTGGGATTCAGCTTTAAATCGTTGCTTGGTATTTTCAGGGTGAGAGCGCCCCCACATCCTCCAAGGCGCCATTCCGGGGTCCAGTGCCTTGGTTCAGCGGCTTGCACGTCAGCTGCCTTGTTGAAGCTGCTTACGCCGATCTTGTAGGATGCAGTTTCCCTGTTTTATGCTTTCCGGCTCGCTTGTCAGCAGGCAGTGCTTGCCTCCAATCTGGAGTCGGCCTGGGCCCTGGCTCGGCCTGGATGTCTTGGCTCTTTTGTCCACTGCTTTTTGCTCCTTCGGCCGTGGCACAGTATATTCAGGCTGCTTCGGCCAGTTGCCGTTATGTCTGACTTGTTGGTCCTGGGGGTGGGTGGGTCGTGCCAGTGTTTGAGGTTCCTCTCATCGTGGTAGGCCACAGGTGCCAGTTTCGGGCTCGGCTCTGCCTTTGGACCCGTCTTCATATGGCCAGCACGGTGTTCGCCCTGAGCTGGGTTCGGGAGTCTCATAAGGGGCGCCGGCGCTCTCGCGACTCGCCCCATTGATGGGGCGGTGGAGGGTAGGCTTACGCTGTTCACTCACGCCTAGTCCCACGATTGTGGGTGTTTCGGGTCGTTTCCTTCGGTCTGCGGTGGTGTTGGGTGGCCCCTTCACCTTCGGGGGGGGGGGGGGGCTGGCGGGGCAGGCTTCTTTTCCTGCACTCCATCGAGTCGTCTTGGAGTGGGTTCGCTTGGGCGTCATCGAAACAATGATGTCCCTCAGATGGGTTTCCCGTCTGTTTCCAGTCCCGAAACGAGACTGCGGACCTACAGTTCATTTTGGACTTGTCCCGTCTGATACCCTGGGTTCATTGCCCCCTCCTTTCGGATGACTACGCAGTCTTAAGTTCAGCTCCTGTTGGACCCGGGTTCTTGGATGGTGTCCCTGGACCTCCGGGACGCTTATTGGCACGTCCCGATTCATCTGGGGTTCAGGGACTGGCTCGGTTCTGCTGTGGGGTATCAAAGTTACCACTTTCATTGTCTCCCGTTCGGGTTGAATCTGAGACCTTGCGTGTTCACATGCCTTACGCAGGTCGTCGTGGCCCGTCTGCGTCTTTTAGGTATTCAGGTGTTGGCCTACCTCGATGACTGGCTGCTTTGGGCTCCCAGCCGGTCTAGTTTTTTGCTAGCTAGGGGTTTGGTTCTCTTCCAGCTCGCCGGGTTCGGGTTCTTTGTGAACTGGAGGAAGTCCCATATGGTTCCCTCCCAGGTTCGGTCATGGCTGAGTCTTGTGTGAGGCTCTTGGACTGCTTCCATGTTTCTTCCTCCAGAGTCCCTCCTCCGGCTACGGTCCCGCTTGCGCCTGTTTCTGGGGTGCTTCCGGGTCACCTGGCGGTTGCTCGAGAGTTTGTGCGGGCGCCTGAACTTCCCGATGGTCTACCCACTGGGTCGGGTCTGGCTTCGTCGGCAATTCTGGTTCCTTCGAGGGATGTCCCTTCCACCTCTCTCGCGATCGCTAGGTTCGACCCCCGGGGGCCTTGTGTCGGCTGCTGCGTCGCCGGCTTTCTCTTTGGGTTTTTCGGGATTCAGTGCCTTGGCGCCTGCCCGAGCCCTCAGTCCATGTGTTCACGGACGCTTTTTCGTCTCTCGGCTGGGGCTTTGTGACCAGTGCTCACCAGGCTGGCCAGAGTCAGTGGGGTCCGTCCTTTCATCGAGCCCACAGCACAGTGCAGGAGTTCGTGGCGGTGTGGTTTGTGCATCGGAGGGTTCAGGTCGCCTGCGGATCGACAATCCGGCTCCATTCGGACTGCTACCCCATGGTTCATTGCCTGAACCGAGGGGGTTCGATGTGGTCCTTGATTCTTTGGCGCTGGTCGCTTCGGGTGACTCGTCTGCTGAGTTCTCGGGGGTTTGGCTCTCCTGGCTGTTCATGTGCCAGGAGTGTCCCACGCCTTGGCCGACGGCCTGTCCCGTTTCGTTCCCCTCTCCATGGAATGGACGCTCGACGCCGACCCCTTCCGTTGGGTCTGCCAGATGTTCGGGCGCTCCGAAGTGGCCCTCTTCACGTTGGGATGGTTGCGGCCCCTTCCCCAGTATGTGGCGCCCTTCCCCGATCTCGAAGGGGTTTGGGTCGATGCCTTTCGGCAGGACTGGTCGAGGTGGGGGTTCCTGTACCTCTTTTCCCAAGTTCAGCTGTTGCTCCTGGTCCTGACTCACTTGGAGACCTACCAGGGGAGAGTATTCCTCTTGGCCCCGTGGTGGCCGGCTCAGCCGATGTTTCAGGCGCTGCTTGCCTGGTGTCCGAACCCGGAGGTTTTCCTGCGGCTCTGCCTCCTCCAACAGATCGGCCCGGAGCATCACGTGACTGGTTCGATCTTCTCCTCGAGTCTTCGCGTATGGTCTTTTTGACTCGAGTTTATCATCTCTGTGGTGATCAGGTGGCTTCTTTGTTAGTGTCCCACCTGCGAGCTTCGTCTCGGCGGCAGTATGAAGTCTCCTAGTGGTCCTTCCAGTTCTATTTCCATCTTCGTCATTGTGCTTTGCTTTCTGTTTGGGTGGTGTTATCCTTTCTCTCTTGGTCGGCCGAGCGGACAGCACGCTGGACTTGTGATCCTGTGGTCCTGGGTTCGATCCCGGGCGCTGGCGAGAAACAATAGGCAGAGTTTCTTTCACCCCATGCCCCTGTTACCTAGCAGTAAATAGGTACCTGGGTGTTAGTCAGCTGTCACGGGCTGCTTCCTGGGGGTGGAGGCCTGGTCGAGGACCGGGCCGCGGGGACACTAAAAAGCCCCGAAATCATCTCAAGATAACCTCAAGATTGGTTGTTCCAGGAATGTCACCTTATCCTTAACACTGTCGCCTCATATCGTGCGTCGCTGGCGGAGCCGCTTCAGCTTGCTTTCTGTATTGATGTTACTTCTGTGCAGTTTCGCTTCTGTCTCGTGCGTTGTTTCACCTCCAGCCTGCTCATGCGCCGCCTGAGCCATCCTGGTCATTGAACAGAGTGCTCTCTTTTCTTTCTTCTCCTCGGTTTGTTGTGGCCCCTTCTGTTCAGGATTGTTTTCCCAAGGCTCTTTTTTTTCCATTGGCATTGGCCTCTGGGGGTCGGGTTGGGAAGCTTCATGCTCTCCTCCGGCGCAGAGGTTTCTACTCTTTCGGTCTTCGTGCTGGTTTTGCTCGTCTGCCGCCGTCTTCTTTTCTGGCAAAGAATGATGCTGCTTTCTGGAGGAGTCCCTGGGTTGTTGATGTTTGGTTGGTTAGGCCAGGGGTGCATCATGTTTTGTGTCTGTTTGCTGCTCTTTGCCGTTATTTACGCGCCACAGCTTCTGTGTCCGGGGACGCGCTTTGGGTTAAACCGTTTTCCCTTCTTCCCTGTTCGTGGGTGCGGGTCTCCAAGGTCGTTTGAAGAGTTATTAAGGATTGCCAGCCTGCAGTCTATCCCCGTGCCTATGACGTTCGTAAGTTCGCTGCTCTTGCTGCCATCTTTGACAACATGTCCTGGGCTGACATTTGGGCACAGAGCTTTTGGTGGTCAAATAGGCTGGCTGCTCATTACCTGGTGAACGTCTCTGGGCCTAGTCGGGCCTGTGTCGCTTTGGTTCGGCGGTTGCAGCCAGTTGTCCGGACTTCGAGTTGAGGAGTGAGCAGCAACCGCCACCCGGGTAAGTCCCTATGTTTTTCCTGTGTGGGTAGTTAGCTCCGGGGAGCCAAAAGGGGGTCCCCCCAGAAAACCAGCGTTG